AATTTCGTGAGCAGTGTGAGATAGAACCGAAAAAAATCAACAACCCAGTCTGAACAATCAGGCTGGCGTGCAAGCGGGAAAAATACATTTTTAACCCTCCAAAATCTCTACTTCAGCCCTTACAATGTGCTGCAATGCCCGTCAAAATGATTTTAATTCTAATCAAACTTGTCAACTTCAATTTCTTTCAAATTTCATTTAATACATGAAGGAATATTCATCGGGAATAATTCTAAAAGCATACCACTATCTTGTGTTTAGTTCCCATATGAACATTCACTTGCACATGGAAAAAGGACATATTTGAATGATGCTGATTATAGATTTGACAGCCATATCAATTATTTTAAAAGCACGGATTCCTGCTCAGTCAGTTTATATTTGATTAAATTTGAGAGTTTGCGAAATTGAAAAAGAATACCTTTGGAATTTATTTTCCTGAAAACGATTAGACAAAGCTAGTAGTGCTTTACGTCATTCTAATAAATAATTTATTGAGCTGCTTTCATGTCTTTAACTTAAATGATGATTGTGCTCATTAGATACTAGACTTGATTGGAATCGGGCAAGCGCTGAACCTTTGGCCGTTTGGTATACGAGCCTTGATTTTGAATTTGTTTCTTCTATCTGTGTTTTACCGTAGACTGAGATTTGAGCTTTGAGTTAAAAAAAGGAAACGGTGCCCTAAATCAATTGCCTTTTTTTACTTTTTTTTTAGATAGAAGTGCAAAATGACGAAGATAATCCTGCAAGCGCTCTTCATTGCTGCAGTTTTTAGCAGTATTTCTGCAACCTTTTCGACAGGCGCAGATGAAGAATCGTCGATTGCCTTGAGTGATTTAAGCAGTCAGTGTCTGCAATGTTCTCTTCTCCTCTCAAGGTTGGCACAAAAGCGGTAACGAGTGACGAAGACTTAGGACAGATGCTTATCAAATTATTCTTAGAAATCTCTCGTTTCAAATTCCCAAGTTACAGTTTAGCTTTTCACAGGGCTATCAACATAAGACGCCAAGGAGAAGCTAGGGGATTTTTTGACGAAAGTGAACTTCAGATATGACTGCTACTTTCAAGACCAGAAACTGTTGACGCATGTTCATCATATCTTTTAAATAGTATTATGTGCCATAAGTTGAAGTAATAACAATTATTACAGGTGTTTAGAGGACTCATTTTCAGTGCTTTTTTTCTTTTTTTATCAGAATGAGGCTCTTCTTTGTTTCTCAGGGAAAGGTCTTGTAAATCATGGTCAAGGTGAATATAAAACGAGTAAATGTTGTTTTTGCCCCGTTTTTTCTTTCTTGTCCTTTCAATTGAAAAGCAAACTTGTGAGAATATTCTCTAGGGGATAGAAGGGGGAAAAAGAGGCACTAGTGTTCATATTTTGAAATAAAAGGTGATGCTAACCTGCAAATCACATCTTCTTTTGTATGTAGTGAACGAGCCAAAGTTAAAGCATCTGGAAACGGAGGTAATTTAGTATACGACAGATTTTGGTTTCTTCTTAGATTTTCGAACTATATTCATCTAATACGACTGAAATACCTTTTAAGTCTCCGAAATAACGAACTGTAAACGGAGAATAAAATATAGTGTAAACGCTTGATAACCATCAAACGGGTGCTAGTAATTTTCTTCTGCTCATGAGCAGTTTAAACAGACACCGGTTGACACCCATGAATAAGCGCAGCAGCGAAGAAAATTCTCCAAACATATTTCTCTTGGTACTGGCATACTATTTATATCTGGGATACATGGGTTTCGGCCACGTCAAAGTGTGCTATTATTTTAAAAAGGCACATTTTATTCAATTTTCCTTCGCGGTTTACAATCGTCTTGCATGTGTGGACTATTGTTAGAATTATTTTCTCTAACACTCGTTGCGGACTGGCTGAACCTTTTTATTTGCTTCTCTCTTTAAGTTGTTACAATAGGGACTAGCTTCAATCTATCTAGGAAAACTAGAGTCTCCGCTTATAAAGGTGTTACTGCGGATGACATTTCTAAGCCGTCAATCTTCCTGTGTCGCCAGCGAATCACGCCTGACTACGTATTATAGTTCCCACACACTGAGTAAGCACTCAGGGTTGTCTACGCAGTTACAAAATCAATTTCTTTCCTAATTTTCATATCTTTACGGTTGAGATCGGCCAGAACAGAAACGAGATCGTCAATATAAAAATCACAAATAACCTTTGTGTAGGGTATTATTTATAGCTGAAAGTGTATTTTTAAGAGCAAATCACCTTTAAAGATTGTTACATAACAACATCTTGGTCACAAGAGTTAAAGAAGAAGGGGGCTCACAAGTACCGCCCCCAAATTGCTTCTTGTTGCGAAAACATGAGGGACATCACCTGTTTACCCTTAAATTACCTCTGGGAACACGAAGGTGTCGAACGCGACATATTACCAGGGAGATTTACTCTTCCTGGACTAACAAATTAACTTACTTAAGAACACGGCCTATCACGAGTTCCATGTCAACCTCACGATTACAACGAAGAAAACGTGACTAAATTCACAAGAAGAACGTTATTAGACTCAACCTTTAAGACAAGACCACCAAGAAGGCGTACGAAGCAATCAACCTGCCCTTTCTATAATTTACTTTAAATGACTTAGAATAATATAATATTTCCATTTCTTTTCCTTCTAACACCAATACAGAAAACCCTTACGATATTATAGATTAACTATAATTGTAATTTTATCATTTAACACTATTGCTTTGTTTGGAACTGAGACCAATTTGATCTCTTGTCTAGTTCAAACAGTACACCAAGGAAATTGCTTTTTTTTTGTTGTTTTACTAGGTTGCTGAGCTGAAAGCCTAGTTGGCAAATGCTAGCCAGCCAGGAGGATTTGCGGCATTAGACAGCAACGCCCGCCTGCCTCAAAGCCTCCTCCCAGCTGGCTATAACCAGTACTCGGCGTTCGACTTGGCGTGGCAGTCTCTGCACATGGCGGCTGCAGCAGCTTGCAGAGGTAGCACTCCTACCGGAGGGCGAGGGTGCTGCCGAAACAAGGTGATGGTGAGGAACCAGGCAGATTTAAAAGACTGCGTGGAAATTTTTGCCACGAGCTCCTTTCCAAACTGTGATGGTGAAGTTTCCATCTACGGGCGAGAGCGCAAAGCTACTGAAAATGGAGAGATAGTGGGTTCTTTCTACAACTACGAGTGCGATGGTGCTGCTAACAGAGGGAGTGAGGCGTCCAGCGCTGATCAAGGTGTTATGAGTTCCTCCATTTACTTTAGCTTCTGTTGTTGCCGAAAGTAAACAAACAACAGAGTAAACAAACCTTCCAGCTACATAGTGAAATGAAATGAAATGTATTAAATCGAGTCGAATAAAGTTGGCATATGAGCATTTGACGTCTTCTTCTTTACTAACTAGTAAGTCATACCATCCCTTTTACTCAAGAAAAGTTTATTAGCAAAAGTAAGAATTTCTAAAATTCCTTATGATACCTCATTCTTAACGATATCCGCTCCTGGTGTATGTGATTTAACTAGAGATGTTTTGGTTAAGCAAAATTGCAACAAGAGAGAAGCACCGATAGCAAGGATTCTGAAAGTCAGGTTTAGAAACAATTTAGACGGAAAATTTGTATTGAATTACTATGTATCAGCATAAACTTGTTTGAATGGCAATATTCCACGTAGAAAACTTAGTTCAGCAAAGCGTAAACGCTACCAGTTCTCCTTCAGTCACCCGTAAACAGTTATTATTAGTGTTAAACTGTAACAGCCACCTGTCATGTCCTTTTGTGTAACTGTTATCCACCGGAACTCTTTAAAAGTAATTAATGTTGTAAAAGGCGAAATTCCTGCTTAGCCAATAGTGTAGTAGATTACATGATCCTTTAGATTATTCATGGCATTACGTTATCCATGTACGTTAGGTTTAATTAGGACTGTTCTGTAAAGCTTAGCGGGGAGAAAAGAGAAGAGAAGAGAAGAAAAGAGAAGAGAGAGAAGAGCGGGGTTGAACCAGCCCTGGCCAGGTCCGTTCTGGTCAAAATTGTAGTAGAGCTTGCAGAATAAATCTACGTTGGAGCCAACCCTGTTGTTGTTAGTCATTCTCTCAAGGATAGTCAGCAGCCGTAATAGATTCCGGTTACCTTCCCGCAGCCAGCGAGTGCCCCCAAGGAAAGCCTTTACCCAGAAGAGTTTTTAAGAGTTGTCCCCGTCCGTCCGTTCATTTGTGAAGGCAAAACCCTGTTTTCACAGTTTGATTCTTACTGAGACTTGTTCTTAATAATCGTCATTGCCTCGTTTTTTCTTCAAAAAGCTATTTATCTGGGGAGCCCATGTTTACTAACATGTGGAAGCTATAAGCAAAGCAAACTTTGTTACTACGTCATCACTGTAAGAATTATAGGCGAGGTTTAGTGCATAGTCGAAATCTAGTTCCCCTACACGCACTGAGTCGGAAACTTAACCTTTCAGGATTTATCATTTTTTTATTTTTTAATTGAACGACGAAGTAATGAAAAATAACGAGCAATAATTAACGCTTGCAATAATCATCTGAAGAGGGGACAACTGAGCGAGAACTGAAATCATCTCTTGTATAACCATGCAGCACAACATCAAAGTTAACTTACGCGCTCCAGATCGGGTTCCATTTTAACTAATGGCGAATTCATTAAGCCATACTGCTGTTTTAAGAAAGGTTGTAGGACAAAAAAGCGTAAAAGTGCGCGCGTCAACCCCGAAAGGTACTGTGTGTAGTTTTGTGGTCACGGTTCCTTGACCTTAGGATTTCAGGGAATCTTAGAAAACGCCACTGTAAAGACGATTAATCGCAGGTTTGATGAATTTACTTATTTATTTAACTTATTAAAATTCTTTGATCATCAGACACCCAGATAACCCTACAAGACTGTAATGTGCATTTTTGTCCTTAAAGATGTCCTTTTCCTGCGACAAGCTAACGAGCTTTCTCGAAATACGAACTAAAAGAGGGAAAAACGACAGGAAAGACAGCAAACACATCTAAAACAGAACTGATTAACGTCTTTTTATTGAAAATACTACAAATGCATTTCGCACACTGAAACTCAATTATTTTTGAGAGAAACTAAAATCTGGGAAAGACGTTTCTTTTTCTGATTTACCGTTTTATTCTACTTTCGGCAACAGCAAAAGCTGTAGTAGGGGTAACCTTTAGGAAAGCGATTGATATCAGTAGTGGAGCCTGACACTTCACTCCCTCCGTTAGACGAGTGACTACAGCTATAGTTGTAGAAAGCCCCAATCCTTTCACCAGCCTTAGTGGCTTTTCCTGTTTTGCCATGAATGGACACCTCTGCATCACAGTTTTTATATGAAGTCTGACCACAGATCTGAGTGCAGCTCTTCCTGTTAGCCGTGTTTCGTACGAGAACAGCGTTGCCACAACAACCACTTCCCCCTGAGCTTGTGCTCCCCCTGCAGGCAGCGGCAGCCGCCATATGAAGAGCCTGCCACCCCATGTCGTACATGGAGTACTTGTCGTAACCTGCCACGAGGAGTTTCTGGGGCAGATGACCGGTACTGTCGAGCAAGGCGAAGCCGTTAGGTTTTCCTGCCTTCTGGAGTAAACCTTTAAGTTTTTCGACCTGGCAGGATTCAGAGAAGCAACGAACTTTAATAAAAACACAACGGAAAATAAGACATTAACAAATTCTCTAGGTCTGTAACTTAATTTGCTAATTTACAGCTTGAAATACATAAACTGTACTCAAGGCGTTTTCTGCCGTGGCTCCTTTTGTCTTCTATCATTATTTTGGCATAAATTTAGCAAAAGCATTTACGCAAACTTTTCCGCTATGCGCATCTCCCTACAATAAGAGCCAAAAAAGCGAGTCAAAAGTAAAACGTTTGATGAAGTTTCTATAATTCTAAGTGGAAACGAGCCACGTACCGACGAGGAGGTTTTTTTTCTTATACGCACGAATAGGTTTTGAACCTATTCATAGATTTCCGACTAACGAATGCAAAATGTCTCAAACTTCTTATGCACTGGTTCTCAAATATTTTGGAAGGTTTAGCGACGCAACTTAACAGGAATTTTAGTTATCTAGTAGTGACAACTAACCTCGTCTTCCAAAACTTTCAATCTGTCGCTATTGTCTGTAGAAAAAGATATTTAAAAAGAAGACTGAGGTTAAAGGGATCTTTATGCAACACTCTCATGAGTATTCTGCACTCTTTTCATAATTTTAAGGCTATCGACTAGGTATTTTGAAAGCGATGTGTATCTCTCCTTTGTTTCTTTGTATGTTCACTTCTTGATCAGTAAAGGTACATCAGTAACAAGTTTTGAACTGTTTGCGTATGGAACATCTTCCATAGCTTGGTCATACTCAAGAATTTTAAAAAAGGTAACTAACGGCTAATTTTCGCTTTTTCGGAATACTGTCTTAAGGCCTCAGGAAACACATCTTCGTGCCTTTATTCGCTCGGAAAACTGTCCTAAATGCAGCTTCGTGAGTCATCCGCCTTAAACGCTTCGAATTTGACCATGTGACCTGATACGTCACACGTGTGCACACTTAGCAAAGTAAATATGGCGGATAGTACTTCAAATGAGAGTAATTCAATTTTGGGGTCTAATTATTCGGATTTTGAGGCCTCGATGGAGGGTGACATTAATGATAGGGCTTATGACCCTGCTGGTTAAATCAGGCCCTGGCGATTTTGAAGAGTATCAAGAGCTTGTGCGCCGCGCCGCCTCAATCAAGAAAGCGACGAATGGTTAGTGCATAACGCTTGAAAACAATGTATCTGAATCAGTTGCTTATCAATCGCTTATCAGGTAAGGAAAACCAAATTTGCAGACTCTTCAATTCCATTGGAGCGAAATATTTTTGCGCTACACGCACGCACCTTCCGAAGTTTTTTTGCACAGACTGAAAATTACACGCTTGTGGAGGTGCATTGGACGCATTCATTTTTTAGAGTACTTTTCCGCGTCATACACGTTTCCACGCTTTTGTATCGGTTTTAAGTTTTCTTTTATTGAATTTGACGAACGGCTTTTACTGTAAGACACAAGCGGCAAAAAATAGCATAAGTACATGTAGAAATGAACATCTTCGTGATATTAACTTATTGTAAACTTAGTTTGGTCCTTTTTTATAGGCGTCATACACGTTTCCAGCCAGACAAACAATGGCTTCAGTCTTAAAACGTTCAAGAGGCAAACATTATTAACAAGTCATAAAATCAACGAAGCAAAGCAAGTCGTTATTTATGGTTTATTTGAATAAAAAAAATTCATCGTCATATTTAGTAAGGGACATGTAGAGAAGGTCCGAGTAATCGCCATTTAGCATGATACTCTTCTTTGTGATGGCACACAAAAAAATTGAAACGTGATATTTAAATATTATACTTTGGGGCGAAAATTCACTGCATGACTGTTCATAACAGAAACACGAACTCATCTAATTGATTGAGACGTTTGCTGATAAAGATTCAGATATGTTTATTACATTTGGTGTTGCTTGAGAAATCTGGTTTCTTTGATCCGCAAAAAAATTACACTCTCACACTCAGATTTTATTTTAGATAGCATAACTTGCGCGTTACAAGAAGTTCGAGATGACCTGTACGAAACCAAACTGAACCACTTACGAGATCAAGTTCAGGCGATATCTTACATTCTAGCTCTCTCGTATTTCTCTTACCAGGCATTGACTCTCTGGGCATTTTTTCAGCTGAGATGTTGTGTTATCCCACAGATTCTTCGTTCCTAGCACCTCGGACAAAAACGCCCCAAAGCAAAAAAATTTGAAAACTGTGAACTTCATTTTAGATTTTCTCGTTTCAGCTGGTATCTCACACAAATTAAACCGAATACACAGTGTTGCCTTAGTTGGATCAACATTGGTGAGTAGAAGGTATGGAACTCGACAAAATATCATGTTTGCTGAGTTAATGAAGCATGAACTTAACACCGCCACGTGTAGGTGGAAAACAATAGCAAAATGTATATTTTAAAACCACCAACGGGCCCGGGCAATGAAGTCCTTTGTGTCAAACTAGCATCGTTCCCCCGTAATAGACAGGAAACGAAGCGCGTCGCGCTAAAAGCCGACAGTCAGTAGTTGTTTTCGTCGCGCTGTTTGTGATTAATGTAAGCTTATTACAGCTCAATATGCAGACAACTTTTTGCTCCGATAACTGTGAGTTTCAATGAATTTCAGGGCTTTCTCTCTTCGACGGAAACATGATCTGAAGGTTTTATTCCGCCAGTCTAGTTCAAGAAATAAGAATGAAATCGCGTGATCGGCAAATCGATAGATCACAGCCTTCAAGGGAGGACAGTTTAATTATATAATAATGTTCAATAATCCTAAGAAACACATGCAATCATTTAGGACATAAAAGTTAAGGTCTTATACATAAATGCGACCTCTGGAACTCGATGTAACGAAAATGATCCAGAAATGAATGAGTTGCCAATAGTCGGATCCTTGTGTTTGCGCACAGATTTCTGGGATGGTCACGGGGCAAACATTTCAACGCACTAGAAGGAAAGGTATGGCGAAAGGTTGTTCTGACGTCCATAAAAAAAAACCATCTTACTGAAGATTATCGCTTTTTCGCCGCTCTTTTATTAGAAATGGATTTGGGTAATGCTGATGCAAGGGAAGCGTAAGTTCTCGTTAAAAAAAATATTTATATGGAGTAAAATCTACCGATTAACTTGTCTCCATGCCCAAAGTTTATTGTGAGTTTGACATCGGGTAATAGTCTCGGAATTTAAGTCCAATTGCGAGAGTTAGATATTTTATCGTTTATATTGTAAGCCTCAACAGCAAAAGTGCTGGAAGCTGGTATTCGATGCATTTTGAGATCTTTAGTAAAGCGATTATGGATGAGCATCAATTTCTGAATTTAGATCAATTGTCGACGCCGGCAGAGAGTCGTTTAATGTAGAAAGAGAAAGTCTTATATGTAGAAGTTGGCACGTCTCTGAGGGGAAACAAACTGCTGAGCGTAGCACGCTTAATAAAAGGCACCAAGGACTCTTGAGCTGTCCTTTCCAATCTTCTTTAATAATCGTGTACTTGCAGCAAATTTACTTCGATCATTGTTCTTGTCCTTAAATTCTGACTGACTGGTCGACTCTGTTCGACACTATTCCTATCTTTTATTAACTCTGGTCGACTCTCTTTTCTTTATCTCTGATCGACTCTCTTACTGCGAACCCCATAGTACATAAACATGTATTCACTATCGGTATAGGCATTAGTGAGGATGCTGACCAATACGGAGAACATGGAGGAATAAAGATTTTTCGCCAAAAAAAAAATAACCCAAGCACTTCCGCAAGAATGTCTTAAATGATCGACAACTAGTTCTAAGGCAAGGTCAGTAGACAATCTAAGCACTTACCAATGGAAGTCTTATCTGAATTCGTAAATTTAAAAAAAGGATGAAAATCACAATTTAATTACAAAATGCTTAAAAAACTTTCATTTCTTTGCCGAACTTTCTAGAGCTTTCGATAACACAATTGAAACACGTATTGGTAAATATTGATTTTTACCGTTTATGATTTGAACTCGTGAGTGACGTTTATTGTTTCCTCACCTAATATATTGTTCGCATAGCTGTTAATCAGTATAAAAATTATAACTTAAAACTTCTATTGCCATTTTGCATTCGAGAGTCTTGTGAATCATGAATAACGAGTGAATGCAACTCCTATGAAGTTTCTCTTGGTTTGTCCAAAGTCTATTCACCACAACTTGCCCCGTTATCCGGAACTAAATATGATAACGATAGACTTTTGGCCTCCCGTTAGCTAAGCAAGTACCCCGAGTTTAGTTTCCCTAAGTTGTTCATTTAGTTAATCAGTTTCCAGTTAATAGCCCCAGCAAAGATAATGTTTACCCTCACAACGAAAAAAGAAACGATCGTCACAAAAGGATCCGTTTTCTAGCAAATGAGCTACGATATATGACATCCACGACCTGTTTTCTTGTCTCAATCTTAGAAACTTCCTCCTTCCCTTAAACATTATTTTCTTTAAAGACCTCCCGTGGTAGGGACGAAGATGGAAAAAAAAAACCCTCGAGGAGGATAGGAACAAACCCTATAAAGTAAATTTCAACAAATTACTCGCTAACTTGGGGAAGTACTTTTCCTCTTATGCGGGAGCCTGAATCCTGAGAATATTTGAAGTAAGAGGTCGAAAGTTGATTTATATGCAATGTCAAACAAAGCTGATTGCAGCAGTTTTATTCTCATGCCACGCATCAAAGATGTCGACGTACGACTGATTTGGAAATCAGAGAGTTACCTGGGACTGAGTCACCAAGAAAGCAACTTGAAAATGAAGAATACCACGCAAATGATCAAGGACCAAAGAAACGCAAATTAGAATTTCAAAAAAAACAAACAAACAAAAATAACAAAACAAAACAAAATTAAAATTTCTTCTGAGGCTGAAAAACTTGTTCGTTTGTTTCATCTTTTTTTTTTTCAATTATAAGAGGTTTTGTGTCATGTTTATTCAAGGGTAAAAAAGGAAGTAGTGAAGTGACAAGTCAAGTCATCTCAGAATAAGTATTAACAGTAAAAACTCAAACTAGTAGCAATTTAAAAAATCAATAGGACACAAAGATCATGAGCACTTATGTTGTAAAATTTTACGGTTAACGTTAATTTCTTGGTAGTTTTGATAAATTTTGATATCAAGTTTTTTTTATATCAGTTTAAAAAGTAATCAGATAACAATAAACATCGCCGTCACTCAAAAGTCCCAAAATTAAAAATTAGCATGGAGTGAAGTGTTTTTTTTTTTTCATCCGGTACTCTTTTGAAAGGATAGGTAATTAATTTTTATTGAAAACGCGACGCTCCTCTGAAACATAATGTAGTTTTCATTTAGACGCAAAGAAAAGAATCCCTGAAATTAATAATAACTAAGGGGACCTTTTTGAGTGGACCTTTCTAGTCATTATAGGATACAGCTTCAAATCGCTCTTCTATTATTTTACTAAATTAAGCATAGATTATGTCGCGCTTGAAAAACAGTCATTATATTTTGCAGATTGGACCGGAAGACAGATAAATAGCGCTAGACTCACGGTGGACCAATAAAAACAACACAAAGTACGTGACACCTTGTTAAGTACATGTCAAAAGATATTTTTCTTTAAAGAACATTAATTAGGCGCCCCAAAAAGTGTCTAGTAAACGAAAGAAACTCTTTGTGAAAGGAAGTTGATATCATCTAAAGTAAATTTTCACTTCTCTCTAGAAAAACAAATTTTAACACTCTAAAACTCTATATCGCCATGGGTTCTTCGGCAGTGTTGTCTCTTGTATTGACATTTTCTTTCGGTCTAGAAGCAGTGAATTGTTTCATGTTTCGCTCGATATCCAGTCATGCATTTAAAGGTCTCATTTCGCAAACGCTGTTCGACTTGGATTGGCTGAGTTGTTTAGAAGCTTGTAGCCGAAGTGAGACATGCGTGTCTTATAACTACAACTCGCTGACAGATACGGAAGGAAGAGGAAGTGTATGTGAATTGATCAGCGGAGGAAAATATCTTGGCGAGTGTGATACGAGTCATCTTGTGTACCAAACTGGTTATGTGTTTCACAGAATAAAACTCAGCAGTAAGGTATGTCAAAGAGTGCCCTGTTTTGCTATAAATTTTTTGCTATAAGGGATTTTATTTTACAATTAACAAGAGCGCAACAGTACAATTGAGTTTCCTTCTCTGGTGGGCGATTGAAATCACTAATCACCTTTCGGTGCTGTGACCATGTAAACTATTCCTACCCGCCTCTAAGATAAAGGAATATATAAAATGAATGATTAAAAACGAACTTTGTCTTATTGAGGTAAACTGTGTAGCTGAAATGTCAAACTAAATAACTGACCGCTGAATAACTGAATTCGACAGAAGAGACGGTAAAAGTCTCACATCCTTCACGTTTTTCTCCCTTTTTCAGGAAGCAAACGGAATAGTGCCATACAAAACTGCGGTGCAAGATAAAGGTAGCACTGAAATATTTTCGATTTCATGTTTATTTACCTTCTTTTACCCGCAATCGATGTTATAACGCCACACCTCCTCGAGCGAAATTGAAATTTTTTTGTTGGTAAAAATAACATCACTTTTATTTGAATTACCTTGAAACTCTCCCACCAGCTGAGCTGATGTATTACTATTTCGTTCATATTATTATTACTTTTTTTACTGTTTTCCGTTTTGTTATGTATTCCTTCCAAATCATCATAAATCATCCTCCAACTCATTTCACAAGTCGCCATAGCTTGTGCAGTTTTTATCGTGTGTGTTCTTTTTCTTGCTGTGATGATTCATTTTTCCTTGATAGGCTTTACAGACTGCCACGAGTTGTTGCAAGCGGGAAGAACACAAAGTGGAGTCTACACAATCAACCCTGATGGAAAAAACGAGTTTGAAGTCTTCTGCGATCAACAGACAAACGGTGGTGGGTGGGTTGTCTTCCAAAAGCGATTCCATGGCTTGGTTGACTTCTTCCGCGACTGGGCGAGTTACAGAGTTGGATTTGGTAACTTGACAGGCGAGTTTTGGCTCGGTCTTGACAAAATACACCGACTGACGTCCCTGAAACGGACTATCTTGCTCGTAAATCTGGGTGATTTTAATGGAGCCTCAGCGCACGCCATGTACGACAGATTTCAAGTGTCAAGCGAAGAAAACTTATTCGAGCTTCACGACCTTGGAAAGTATTCAGGTATATAATTAAATGACGCTAGCTGATATCAGGAGCGGGGTAAATTTAGCTTTAAGATATGTGCCGTAGATTTTGAAAAAGTACACGATGTATGCCACTGCAACAAACTACATTGTATACCTCCAAGGGATTCAACTAAGAATAAAGAGGGGATTCTTTTTCCTCTCAAAATAAAAATTAACAATTCTTATTCAAGACGGGAGAAAATTACTCTTTTAAGAGCTTTGCAATTTCCTCCATGCTTGTTTATTCTTTGGCGGAAGGAGATGAATGACCCTTATCCTACATTGCTGGCGCTTGAAACAAGCGGCGAGGCCACGAGAGGCTTGGGACGGAACCGGTAGCTTCAAATGCTACACCTCTACATCTCCCCTCCCTCTAGGATTCACCGCTTTACTAAACACTTATGTGTCTGAAATTGAAAATATCATCTTTGCAGGAACAGCAGGTGACTCCTTGGAGTGGCACAATGGTTTACCTTACTCCACCAAGGACCGCAATATTGGTGACTGCCATGATGAAGAATGTGCAAAAATGTACCACGGGGCGTGGTGGTATGGTGACTCCATTCGATCAAATCTTAACGGCAAATACTATATGACACCGATTGCGCCAGCACACGATGGTATCATCTGGGCACATTGGAGGGGATTTAATACCTCCTTAAAATGGACAGAAATGAAAATGAGACCATGCCTTGACTGAATGTCGATCAGCTAACTAACTAGCTCTTCTTGCAGGAAACCATTCTCCTCCTAAAGCACCTACGGACCCTACCCTACGAACACATCTACACTAAGCCGGATAAATTAAAAAAGGGAGTCTTTAGTCTCAAAACGCCCTCCAAGTTTTCTTTCCACAATACAAAACGAATGAAATATTACAAACGAATGAAATATTCACTGTTCATACCATGCCGGATTTATTGTATATTGAAGCACTATCAGCAGATAAGCTTGAAAATATCCCTTAGAAATGCACACGATGAGGGCAAATAAAACAAGCAAACAACAAAAACAACAAAAAGCAAAAATAGATAAACAATAACGACAAAACTGATAGAAAGAGACAAAAGATAACAGAAACAAGTAAACGAACTAAAACGTAATACGCACAATAAAATAAAGGAAAAAAGAAATAAAACGCAAAGAATACAAAGAGGTAACATAAGCAGTGACTAACAGCGTCATCTTACTTCCGGGTTGATGAGGACAGTGATCGAGTTAAATCGCATAAATGAAGTTTTCTTATCAAATTTCTTCAGCGTTGTTTAACGGAGCCCAAGAAAGTTTTTCGACTCGTTGAGCTCATGAAGAGACAAAATGTGGAATTGTTAACCAGCTCTTGATAATTTAGAACAAGTTCCCGTAGATGATACGTAATTGCAAAATTAGGGTTGAGTGGGAAACGTAACGTGTGGCAAGAGGTTGTATGTGGTGTAAGTAAATCAATTGAATTTTCAACTCCGAATGTTGCATTTCTAGTGTTATGGTTAGTTCACTCAACTCCGGTTATCAGCTCATATCCCAAGTCAGCTTATGTACTATCTGATGGGAGCTGAAAATAAGACCCAAATGTCCAAAAGTTTAGGATCTAATGAGATCCAATAAAACATGTATTTCATTTGCACTTAGGGGATACGAGATTGCTTATTGCCAACTCATATCCAACGCCCTCTCGGGATCAGTCGTCGCTAACATAGCATAAAGGGGACTATAGAGAATTGATTGCCAATTAAGTGTTTATGAGCGGGGGGAGGAGAAACATTTGAATATTACATAGCCTTATCGGGGGATCAGGTAAAATGAACGGTCCTTAAGATGGAATGAGGCGAAGGTTGCATTTCGCGGGTTCTTACACGCCAATATCAGCTTTAAGAATCTTGCAAAGGACTGGAATCTACATTAGAGCCGCGGTAATCTGGGAACTTATTGCGTAAAAAACATGTCGGAATGATCGTGTATTGAGTAGTTCGATCATCCCTTTCAAAAAATGGTGAGTTTTTTTCGTATTTCCAGAGTTAAAGTCTGTGCTCTCATGGTTAATGAACCATACTCTCTTCTCAGGCGAGATTTATTGCCCAAATCATCATTCTCGGGGGTCAAGTTATCGGACGAGCGTTTGCACAAGCCCTGCGTCAGGAGTTTCAAAGTAAGTGATGCAATAAATCCATATTTGCAGTCGTTTAAAACGCACTTTACGGTTTGTTGGTATAACTTTATTGCTGGCCCATTAAGTACATGTAGGTATCATAGATATTGGTTTAACGTGACATAATGAAGCATTTTGAGCGAAGACATGCTTTCTTGATATAAATGTGCACTTTTACGTCATTTTAGCAACGTGAGTGTACCCCCCTTGAAAATAGTCGATTTTGGGGATTGGTTTGTTAAAAAGCTTTGCGTCGGAAATAAACTCAAAATTCCGGCAAAGTGAGGGTAGTTGGCTCTATCCTCTAATATTCAGAAATATTCTGACTGAGAATTCTACATTGAAGAAAGGAATTGTTAAGATTGCAATCGTACTCATGTTTAACACATATTATTAAATTTTCAACTCTGAAAACTACATTTATAGAGTTCTGATTGGTTTGCTAAACTTCAGTTATCAGCTCATATTCCTAGTCACCTTAAATGGAATGGCATCACACCAACTGTTGCAGAGATGATAAAGGCTCCAAATATCCAAATGTTCAGGATTCAATAAAAATTAATGACACAATTATTCCATTTTCACTTGTTGGATATGAGATTTGACACAGCTCACTTGGCACTACACATCTGCAGCTCACTCGGCACTACACGACTTGTTGGTGGCTTTTTACCATCTCATATCCAAGGCACACTCATGGAATTTCAGTTAAATAATTTGTTTACTGCTGGTGTACATGTCATTATGGACTAAAATTGTTCAACACTAACTCATTCTCATGATTTGGTATTCTAAAAATGTAAATTGAAATAGTTAGGAAAGAGGGTAATTCTACTGTTTGTTTCAGAGACCACACTGTTGTAGTCACGAGACTTGTTTCATTTACAAGTTTTTAGTCTGGTTGTTGATCTGTTTGCATTCATTTGATAAGTGTCTGTCATGAGAGGAAGCTATATTCATTTACTACCTTTTTTTTCAGGTGGAGCTGCAGCTCAGAAAGCATCAAAGGGTGCCCAAGAAGGTGCTAAAAGAGCAGCCTCAAACAGTGTTATGGGACTGAGTTTAGAGGTACTGCAACTTTGTCATTTTAATTCTTAAGTTAACCTTACACGTCCTAACATCAGTAACCATATTCTCCATACCTTTCTAGACTTATGTGTCCTTTAATTGTGAAAAGGAGAATTCATTTATCAGTTAAAGCTTATTAGGTTGGCTCTTTGTTTCTTTATTCTCATAATACAAATGGATGATTCAGCAGTATTACTGAAAAGAGAAATTCGATGCTGGTTTAAAGGGTGACCTATTGCTCATATGCTGGATGTGTTCTTGATTGAAAAGGATTGTGCATGGTATGTTCAATGAATACGTCATAGTGTTCAGGAAATAATTAAAAACTTAGTTACAAAGTATGTGGTACATTTTCCAGCCAATCTAATCACCTCTGTAAGATGAGAGACCTCTTGAAAAAATCTTGTCTACATGTAGTCTATAAACCCATCCAATGATTTCTTGAAAGTGGTGACCAGCTTTTTACATACATGTATGGTAAGGAGATGAGGATTTAATTTATATTTTTGTTGTATCAAAAATTTATTGACAGGAAGCTAAACAGATCCTCAATGTTCAAGATCTGAACTCAGAATTAATTACAAAGGTACAGTATATTTGCCTCACATTTCCAATTTGGAAGACAAATTTGAGAGATCTTATAGCTGAGTGGTTTGCATGGTTCATTTGGATTGTAGATTTTTATGTTCTAGCACTGCTTAGGGTAATAAAGTGTGCTTATCGGGGGGGGTTGGGGGTATATTTTGGTATTTTACGGAGACTGAACTCAAAAGGTGCTGGTCTCCATCCAACCAATACCATTAATTTCTTTAGGATGCACTTCTATGTCAAATGCTGCTTTCAAAGATTACTTTTTGAAACCTGAAATCCAGAATTATTGCAAGTGATGAAAATTGAGTCACCTTAAGGGTAGAGAAAAGATGAAAACAGGGAAAGAACACTTAAAAGCATATTACATTTTTCTTTTTAATTGAAGCAGTTTTCATTGTTTTGAAACAGGGGATACTGTTTTTTTCCCTAAAAATGTACACTCTTAATTTCATCATCTGGGCTGACTGTTTCTGTTTTGTGAAGGTTTTGGTCATGCTAAAGCGGAAGAAAGTAGACCTATGTTTTTGTCTCAAGAGTATAATACAGTTAATCTTTGTCTTCGTTCAGACTTTGATAAAAAACAATTAAGATTTTCCAGGTTAACTGCATATCTTTAAACTCATTGGGTTGAGCATTGGAGTGCAGAATCTGTAGGTCTGAGGTTCAATTCATCATGAGGATTCAACCCTTTTTTAATTCCATGCTCATGACAAGACATATAACATCTTTCTTTATTTTCAACATATTTTTACAGAATTATGATCATTTGTTCAAAATCAATGAAAAGAAGGCAGGAGGATCATTCTACCTACAATCAAAGGTACAGATATTAAGATTGCACCAAAAGAACTACAACATTAACAACTAAACCACTCAAACAGGAAAAAAACAAACAAATAGCCAAAAACCAACCTCACCTTCATCAACATTTGAAAAATAAAAATAATATCTGGACATGTACATGTGAGTAAACAGGGTAAAGTGTATTTCTGTTTTTGTCTTCACCTCACTGTAGGTATACAGAGCAAAAGAACGACTAGATGAGGAGTTGAAAATGCAAGAAAATGAAAATGACAAGCAAAAACAGAACAATAGTGGTGAATTTGATACGTGACAGTTGTCTCATATGAACATTATAGCACAGTGTGGTACTTTTTGCCTTGGATTCTCCACACAAAAAAATAGCAATGTCAATATTCTGCTGTCTGCATTTATACAATGACATGCAGTCAAAGTGCAAGTAATGAAATAGTTTTTTTAGTCACAGGGTTACTTGTACTACACATACCACAAAACTATATGCCCCTAGCTGTATGTGAGAGAAAAGAAGTTCTGAAAGGAATTTATGGCTATCTTTTCTCGGTCATTGATTTACATTCTATGCTTGATTCTCTTCTTTCTTGGCTTGAAAGGGAAATTTTGTGTGATTTTTAGTTATTTATCACTGTACAGTACAGCTTTAGTTGTTCATTTGTAGCCACTGATACTATTCTAACAGCTATAGCCTCTTTCAAGGGTGGAATATTGTTGAAAGCTATTGAGAATAAATGTTGATTTTGTGACATTGCTGCTTTGTTAAAGTTCCACCCACATGTGGATCACTAAATATTTGATTACTACATGCTGTATTGAGGTTGGCTTGTTTGTGTACTTAAAGTTTTTTTTCCTTTGATGTTAAATACCTGGGAGAAATGTATATTCTTTGCTTGTGATGCTACAACAGTCATACTTGAGTTTCTGCTTATGAATTGGGATGTAGATCTCATCTGTGTTGAAGTTTTATGGATGATAAGGTAGCTACTGAAAATAATAGTTTGCTGGTACTGTGGTTTTGCTAAAATAGAACAATAAAATGTAAACCTGTTACCCTTTAACCCCTAAGAGTGACTGGCATCTAATTTCTCCTTACCAAATCACCCCTTAATCAAACATTAAGGTCACGAGACTAAAGGAAGTGATCACCAACTAAAGAAGCTCTTGATTGTTAAACAAATTCTACTTGTCAGCACCTTAGGGAATGTTTAGAGAACAGTATTGAGATTATGCATACTGATGTTAGGATGTACAGGGTTAATACGCCTTTCTCTTTCTTTTTTTTTTTTCGTTTCTAAGGGTCATATGAACAAAGAAGTAAACCCTTCGATGATACATGTATGTTAAAAAACTTGGCATTTCAACGTATCCTTTCTTTGACTCCCTAAGAGTGACTTGTGTCAAATTTCTCCTCACAACGTCACCCCTGAATCACGCATTAAGGTCACAAGAGTAAAGAAGTGATCACCAACTAAAAGAGCCCTCGAGTTGATATTTGGGTTATGTTTCGGGTTCAATTTCTTTCTTTTTTTTTATTTAATTTTTTTTATTTAAGTAATCACCCATTAAGTCCAGAGAGCATGTGTGTACCCTCCCTTGTGGGCAAGTTGACGCAGTCTGGGGGCGACGTGACTGGGGAGAACATGATGAGGTAGCAGCTTGACTAGAGAACATGAGGAGGTGGTAGCTTGACTTCTAGTAATGAAGCCATGGCGAATGATATGCACGGTACTTGTGAATGATCAAAATGGAGATATCGAATAGCGTCTATCGCAGGGAGGCACGTACGAAGTAAAACTTAATGAAGGGGCGTAGGAAACAGATCAAGATTGAATTTATTTAATTTAACCATCAAGAACATCAGCTAAAGATGTCATCTGAGGAAATGATCGAAGGTAGGAATAGATGAATGAACGAGCGCACGAATCAACGAATTACGAATACTACTAATGGACGAAAGAATCGACGATAAAACGAAAACATGATGAACACAAGCTGATGGGAACGGCCGAATGAATGAATAAATAAACTAACGATGGAAAAGTGTCAGAGGGACGTCGCATAGTTTAACTTTTTCCTTTCTAGTTGTGTATCGTTCCATCTGCCAGAGTTTCTTGACAAGACTTGATTGATAATCAGTAAATGTTGACTACTCGCGATCTTAATCGACACGACGTGCACGAACTTTAAACTTAAACTACCTATTCTGTCACTAAATGCAATAACACTCAAGACTAAGTGGTGTTTTGAGAAACATTCGTGATAGGACAGTCAGATAAGCAATGAATATTACTATCTAAAAAAAATGAATTATAGGTGCGGAAGAGATCTCAATCACTCGTACTAATTTCCTCCTGATGGTCGACCCATGAATTATTGCGAGACGAACTGATAAAAGTATTACCATCCTACAAAAAATTCTGAAGGAACAGCTTTTTTTCACAATGCTCTTCAGCTGAATGAAGGGGTGGAAGGGGGCGGGCGGGGAGGGGGATGGTTTAAAATTGTCAACACCACTTGATGATGTCGCATTTTCACAACTGGATTAACTGTAATTGGGTGGCATTATCAGCCCTTTACACCCTAACATCAGTATGCATATTCTCCATACTGTTCTCCATACATTTCTAAAGAGGCTGGCAAGGAGAATTTGTTTAATAATCAAGAGCTGCTTTAATTGGTGATCATCTCTCCTATTCTCATGACTTTCATGTTTGATTCAGGGGTGAGATAGTAAGGAGAAATTAGATGCTAGTCACTCTTAGGGCCTAAGGGTTAAGAGTTACCAGAATGGGGTTGCACATTTTCGGGATTTTGGGGTAGAGAAAAATTTTTTGCGTTTTACCCAAATGTGATTTAGATGGGGTCTGTAATTGGCCACAGAATAGACTGTAATGAGGTAGGGATTCTGAGAGGCAAATGGCACATATCCTCAAAAATTGACCCAAGGGCCCCCACCCCCGCCTCCTAAGAGTTTCAATCAGTGGTCGGAGCGTGAAGCAATCATTATTGCACGACGACTAACAATCACAATCATTTTAGGATTGAAAATAACTATTTGTATAAAGAGAAAAAAAATAGCTTTAAGAAAATGCATTGTTAGGACCGTTAGCTATTGATATTTGTTAGCTTGTGAAGCCACTGCAAACAACAAGAACTTTAAACGCTTATCAAGATGCAAGGTATTAACATTGGATCCAAAAGACTGATTGTTATGTTAATACGACTAGAAATTAAATGTCCTAAAATAGTGTCTGTGAAAGGTGGTTTCCGTCTGCTCTTTGCTGTTATATGCATAATTACTTGTCTTTAGTTTAATTCTTCAAACGGAATATTGACAGCACATAGTTCTTAAAAGAACTAAAATTTGATTTCGTCTTTCTTTTAAACAATTTTTCACGTAATTATTATTTTTTCTGTCTTTTATCAAGCAGAGCCAAAGGAAGACAGGTTACAACACTTTATTTCTCAAACAAGTAACAGATTAAATCTCTTAATTTTAAATGACAATTTTTTTAAACGCCTGCCTGAATTCTCTAATTCTCGCGGCATATACGAAAGGATTCCAAGCTGAACTACTGAAAGCCAAAAAAATTCCCCACAACCAGTGTCGGTAAACCTTATTCTTCTCACATGGATTCTTGGTAGCTACATCTATTGATGAAAACACTACGTTTGGAAAAAATGTAATGAAAAAAATCCCTATTACTATTCCCGCAGTCCACGCAGCTTTCTTGTTTTTAAGCATTTCGGTTGCCTCAGCCGGATTAAGATGACTGACCTTTTTTTTTTGTTCGTTAGCAGCTCGAAATATGAGAGCGTAACAATAAGTAATGATTGCGAACGGCAGCACGAAAGTCAAGCCAAGGCACGTTATCCACAGAATGGACTGGTTGTCAATGCTGTGATCAAATATAGCCGAGCATGCAAACAATATGGAAGAGATCCAAATTGAGAAGACAACATACCAACAACGGCCTTTGGTCACTATGCTTCCGTAACGAATTGCGAGTGTGACTGCAATCAGTCTATCGACGCTTATGGCACACAGAGTGAAAGTGGATGTTGCCAAACTCTGAATCCACAAAAAGTTTTCCATCCTGTACACCACATTGCGGCCGAACCATAAATTTTTTGCCGTTAAGATGATGTACGTCGGGTACACCAACAGGCCCACCAACGCATCTGAAGAAGCCAAAGACGCAAGGAAGATATTGGAAGGTCTTGATCTGAGAGAACGCACTTTATAAATGGACAACAGTATGATCGAGTTTCCACCGAGGGCAATCACGCCGGAGATAGCATTAAGGAAAATAAATAATACACGCCAAGAGTGTGATAAATTAGGAGATTGCGAACAGGGGTCACCTTCCGCCATGAGCAGCTTCTAAACGTCATGAGGAAAGCGGTACCAAGAATGACTTTCAGTTTCCGTGTTCTGCTCCTAAATTGGAACCAGTGTAACTCAGAAATATTGTTGACAACTTAACTTTCTAAATTAGGAAACATGATCCACTTTATCGATGAGGTCTTGTCATACCTGTATGCTAATTTTGAAGTTTGACGATAATGGCCTTAGAAAATGCAAACTTATATTTTTACTAATCAAATTGAAGAACGAATCAAGTCCTAGGCAAACACCTGCTCAAATTACGAGAGAAACTTCAGGAAGTCTCGATTATTAAATAAAAACACTAAAAATTGTGCTTAGGTCCAAGCAGAATAAAAAAAACAATAGATGCCCACCGCGAAGCCACCGCTGGGAGTTTTCTGCTAAGCTTCCTTATTCCTTAATTGTAGAGGTAAACATTCAACAAATTTAAAGCCAAAAGGCTGTAAATTTAATAGGCAAGCAGAATAAACTCAGCACATGTAATCCCAAAACTAAAATCTCCCAGGAGATGCTCAGTTTTATAACAAGATCTGCTTTGTGTTATAAGCGTTAGAAATTAATGGCACGCAGATTTAAACACTGCCAAAAACATGTAATATTCCACAATACAAAACATCAACTAGAGAATTAAATTATTACCTTTCATCCTGAGGAAAATGGGCTTAACAATGATGCTTTTCAGCGTATTGGACATTTTGAGGAGCTCTTTACTGCACTCCGACAACTAATGCCTTTTTTTATGTCTTTTATGATAATTTTGCAGCCAAAACAAGGTCCAGGTTCAGTTCAGGGAATTGGTTGGCGTTGATTGTCAGTCGGCCAAATACTCCTCTATCCAGATAGATGTAGTCAGGTGCTTTGGTCTGGTTGATTAAAAACTTATACCTTCAAAATGCAGCAAAGGGAAAAAGAATAAAATTACCAGCTGAGCCAATAATCAATTGATGAAAGAAAAAAACAGGAGTTATTAAATAATTGTGAGAACATTTATTGGATGCGGAAACGATTATTGCTTTTTTAATTTATTTCAACGATAATGGCCTCTAATAACCCGTTGTCATTGTAAAGACAATTGTCTGCTGTCTTGACACCGCTCCAAAAGAAAAAAATGGATGTTTAAGTGGAACTGTCATTCGCCAGCAGAAAAACAGTTTCAGCGCTAGGGCAACGGAGCAAAAAAGAAAAATTGTAAGGGAGGGAAAATTACAGGAAGACAGATAATCAAAAGGGAATAAAAGTTGCAGCGAAATTTGCAATAGTCACATTTTGAATAATCCGGCGGGGATTCTGCCGGAAAATCAACATGGTAGTCACGTCTAAATCCTTTAACCTCGGCTAAGAGTGATGAGAATCTAATTTCTCCTTACAGTATCATCTCTGAATCACATTTTAAGGTCATGAGAGTTATGGAATTAATCAGCGACTAAGAAAAAAGATATTGATTGTTAAACGAATTCTCCTTGTCAGCACCTTAGGAAATGTATAGAAGATTATGAAGAATATGCATATTAATGTTTGGGTGTAAAGGGTGAAGGTCTTAAAGAGACTAAAACCACAGACATCATCTCATCGACCAACAATTTTCCAACTGAAATGGATGAAGATTCTTTTTGGCCAATTTGCAAAATTTAAAATAATTCCATGGCAGAAATAGACTAATCTTTCATTCCCTACTCGGGAATATGTGTAAGGAAGTTGGGTTTTCAGAAAATCACTTTTGAAAAATCGCTTTCATACTCAAAGCGACAGAATATGTTACATTTTTATGTGCCGTGGAGGGTCTTTTCCCGCCTAAAAAATTTCTCTTTACTACCGGTGTAAATTGAAGAATTGTTTCACGTGTACAAAAGTGTTTGCGTGGCAATTAAAGTTTGCACCTTAGAAAAGCGAGTTTTAAGAACTCCCGTCGACCAATTGTGGCCCATTCTTCTCTAATTTACAGCGATGTCACCTTAAAATTTGCCCTTTTATCAATTATGTCTGTCGCATTCAGTCCGATGAGCGACGAAGAAAGACTTAACTAATTCACATTGTCAAATACCAAAATAAGAAAAGATTCAACGGTAATAGATATAAATTAATTCGCCGCGACATAGATTTTACGCCGTAGCGCCCGGACGAACTATTGTACACTATTTAGTGAGCGAGTTCCAGAGATTAACTTCAGTGTTACACAGCGTGAACTTAGGTTTCCGTGCCACCACATAACTAAAATAAAATAAAGAACGTGATTCCGTGCTAACTACGTTTCACCATGTGGGCTTTAATTCTTCAAAATTGACATGTGTTTTTTCCTTCACAACACAAATAATATAGTTACTTTCTGTTTTTGACATCGTTCCTTGTTTTTCATGGTATTTAAATCCAAGATGAATTGCGCCGAGTTGATGCTCACGTCAGGTTGTTCGTAATCTGCTAAGCGTTTTGAATCTTTGTTTTCCCTGGCATGGGAAAATCAAGAACAAGAGAATGGTGATCAATGAGACGAGGTTTAAGGCAGGATTAAGAGCCCTTTCATTATGTTAGGAACGTAGTTCTCGTGAGTGTACATTTTAACGTCAACTTGTTTATACAAGTCAGTGATTAGTTACTCTAACACCTAAATGGTTATTTATTTTCTGGTTTCGACTTCGTCTCACCGTCTCGACGTTGGCTCCTTTTGAATTCTAAACAAATTTCTTTTCAAGAGAAATCAAAAGTTGAAAAAACGTCCAATTTCAAATTATTGCTCAAGGAACACTAAGATCTTAAGGTCAAATTAAGACCACATGCAGCTAGTGTTCCTCTGGAAAATCGTGATTGATAAAAAAATTATTCTGAGAGCTAAAACCGGATTACTCTTCCCTGACCTCCTTAAATAACTACAATTAGAGGCAAAATAAGTTGGCACGCCTTCCCTTAGTGGGTGGTCAACAGCTCCCCGCTAAACATAATAAAAAGAAATCTTCCCTAAGTTTATTTAAATTCCCCCATTTTCCCCCAAACAATGCTTTAAGAAATTAGCGACCATTTTGTTATGACCAACAGCACTGTAATGGGAGAAAGGGGTAGTAATATGAAAGTTAGAGAAAAAAAATATTTATGTATCTGTAGCAGTGGTGCTCGGGAGGGATTTCATCCTCTCTTGTAATAGTAGAGTGTGCCAAGACTCTACCACTCATTCTAGCTCTACTCGTTTGCCCTGGTTTTGTTAATACCGAAATAACACATCATGGAACTCTTATTTGTGTTTTATACACCGCATCCGTTATGGCTTGTTAGTGGTCAACAGTTTGTTTCTCCTCTGCTCTTAATATGAGCAAGACCAGTAGTGAATTAAACCTCCTTTTGTTGTTCTTTAAACTCATTCCTACGCAGATAGGTTTCCATGCGGCTCATTTTGACTACTCCTTAAACTCCCTTTACCAGTGTTATGCAACCAGTCTTAACACGTTCTACCATCGCCCTGTTTCTTATGGCATAATTTCAACAGTTTAAAAGCAACAATCACGCTTTTTAACCTCGTTAATGCGTGACAACGAAGCCTTCTGGCAACTGATGGCCTTTCAGTTTCATGTCTGTGATAATTTACTAGGATGTGTTGAAGCCAAGACAAGGCATGGGTTCAATTACTGAGGTTTGGCTCGAGGAATTGGTTTGCATTGACTTTGTTAAATATAACCAAGACCGTGCAGTAGTTGATTGCCTTCATTTCGTTGTTCTCTCAACTTATTCCCTCACAGGCGGTTTTCAATGCGGCATATTTTAATTTGGTTTCTGCTAAATGTATTTTCACCGATGTTATGTAACCAGCTTAATATTTTCTACAATCGCCCTGTTTCTTATGGCATAATTTCAACAAATCGCGCTTTTCTATCTCGTTTTAGCGATACTCGATAACAGCGTGACAACCATCCCTTTTTCCAAGAATTCGGAGTTATTTTGATTAACCGCAGAATATTCCAAAAAGCATGGCGCTAGTGATGTAATGAGTAAAGTGTCAGCGTACTAATGAGAAAGAGAAACAAAACTAAGTGAAAACAAAAAGGGAGAAGGCGAAGTAGCTAACATATAATTTAAAATCCTTCTTCGATCTGCTTCAAGGAAGATTAACATTTCCGGAAAGAAACTTTCCTGTTGGTCGGTCAACATAGCAATTTAGGAAATGTATGGAGAATATTGTATTGAGAGTATGAAAGAGGGGGAGTAGCTGAAACACGATAAACAGAACTGCGTTTCAACTTTGTGAAGCTGAAATCCCTAATTGATGCTCCCGTTAATTTTTTTAATCTGCTGAGCGTGTAATCTCTGTGTTTCCTGCTATTCGAAAATCAAGAAAAATTCGTGCCACTGAGGAGAATCGTGATCATGATTAATCAGACGAAACCTAAGACAGGGTTGAGTGCCCTTTTATTATGTTAGGCATTTGGTTCTGGTCAATTGTTCTTTTTTTTAATTGCTGTTTATACAGGCCAGTGATTAGTTATTTTTGTTCCCAAACGAATTTCTTCTTTCTGCTTTCAACTTAGTCTCCCCGTGAGGGGTTTGATTCCTTTGGAGTACCAATGAAATTTCCTCTCTACCAAAAGCTTTCACTACGGTCCATCTTGGCTCCCCTTTAAACTCCCGTAAGCAGTTTTGCATCACCAGACTTAAAAAGCTGCAAAAATTACCCTGTTTCTAATGGCGTATTTTCAAGTCGTGCTCTCTAACCTTTTGCTAGCATTGTAAGCTTTTGAAAGGAAGGCACTCTCTTAGTGAGACATGTTGGTTAATGAAAATAAGTTCTTCGTTCTGACAAAGAACTGTCTTCGTGTGTGGAAGTGGTCGGAGGTATTCATTTTAAATACAGATAACTTGAATGGACGGAGAAACTTCAATTAGTCCGAAAAGCGCACAGACAGTCAATTCTTCCCCGGTTTACGCTAGAGGATATTAATCTCACAAGTGTAAATTTATGCTGCCTCATTCCCACTGCAGCTAAATTGTCATGGCGATAATCCGATAAGTCACGAACTTTTTTTCACTTAGCTTTGGAGTAAAACTTCCCAGCGATACTTAAGTAGAAATGTTTTGTGATGCTTGATGCAAAAAAATCTTTCCTTACTACAATGTTTAATTTTGGGTTAACCGTCGGCTGTAAAATGGCCAAAATTTCAACTGTTAGTCGTAACAGCCATCACCCCATTGAGATTTTTTGCCGTTATGTAAGACGATGTAAGTCGGGTACACCAACAGACCTACCAACACATCTGAAGAAGCCAAAGACGCTAGGAAGATATTGGATGGTCTTGATCTTAGAGAAGGCACTTTATAAATGGACAACAGAATGATCGAGTTTCCACCGAGGGCAATCACGCCCGAGATAGCATTAAGGAAAATAAATAATACACGCCAAGAGTGTGATAAATTAGGAGATTGCGAACAGGGGTCACCTTTCGCCATGAGCAGCTTCTAAACTACAGGAAGAAAGCGGTACTAAGAATGACTTTCGCTGTTGAGGCAACGGGGCAAAAAAGAAAAATGATAAGGGAGGAAGAATAACAGGAAGACAGATAATCAAAAGGGAATTAAAGTTGAAGCGAAATTTGCAATAGTCATGTCTTCAATAATCCCGGCGGGGATTTTGCCGGAAAACTAACATGGTATTTGCATCTTGATCCTTTAACCCCGGCTAGGAGTGACGAGAAGCTAATTTCTTCTTACAGTATCACCTCTGAATCACATCAGTTTAAGGTGATGAGAATAACGGAATTAATCAACAACTAAAAAAGCTTTTGACCGTTAAACTAATTCTCCTTGTCAGCATCTTAAGAAATATGTAGAAGAGTACGGAGAATATGGAGATTTGGAAATGTATGGAAGAGTATGAAGAATATGCATATTAATGTTTGGGTGTAACGGGTGAAGGTCTTAAAGAGACTAAAATCACAGACATCATCTCATCAACCAACAATTTTCCAACTGAAATGGATGAAGATTCCTTTTGGCCAATTTACAAAATTTAAAATAATTCTCTGGTAGAAATAGACTAATCTTTCATTTGCCACTTGTGAAAAAGTGTAAGGAACTTGGGTTTTCAGAAAATCGCTTTTGAAAAATCTCTTTCATACTCAAAGCGACAGAATTTGGTACATTTTTATGTACAGTGGACGGTCTCTCTTGGGTCCAAAATTTCCCTTTTCTACAGGTGGAAATTGAAGATATATCTTAAATCTACAAAGGCGTTTGCGAGACAATGAAAGTTTGCACCTTAGAAAGGCGAGTTTTAAGAAATCCCGTTGGTCAATCCTTTAATTTGCCCTTTTATCGATAACGTCTGTCGCATTCAGTGACAAGCGAAAGAAAGACTAAACTAATTTACATTGTGAAATACCAAAATGAGAAAAGATTCAACGGTAATAGAGATATGAATTAATTCACCGCCACCCAGATTTTACGCCATAGCGCGTGGGCGAACTATTGAAGACTATTTAGTAAGTGAGTTCCAGAGAACAACTCAATGCTACACAGCGTGAACTTAGCTTTCCGTGCCAACACAGACTGAATTCAATAAAATATAGAATGTGATTCCATGTTAACCTCGTTTCACTATGTTGGCCTTAATTCTTCAAAACTGACATGTGTTTTTCGTTGTTCACAACAGAAATAATATTACTTTCTGTTTTTTGACCTTGTTCCTTGGTTTTTCATGGTATTTAAATCCGAGAAGAATTGCACCGAATTAATGCTCACGTCAAGTTGTTTATAATCTGCTAAACGTTTTGAGTATTTGTTTTCCCTGGCATTGGAAAATCAAGGACAAAAGAATGGCTTTCAATTGGACGGGGTTTAGGGCAGGATTAAGTGCCCTTTCATTATGTTAGGCATGTAGTTCTCGTGAGTTAAAACTTTATCGTCAATTTTTTTTTATTACTGTTTATACAGGCCAGTGATTAGTTACTCTAATTCTTGAATGGTTATTTATTTGCTTTCGACTTAGTATTACCGTCTCGACGTTGGCTCCTTTGGAATACCATACAAATGTCTTTTCTAGAGAGAGCTAAGTTAAAAAAACTTCCGATTACAAATTATTTCTCAAAGAAAATCAAAATCTAATTAAGAGCACGTGCAGTTACTGTACCTTTGGAAAGTCGTGATCGTTAAAAAATATTTCAGAGAACCAAAACCGGATTACTCGCCCCTAAACTTCTTAAATAACTACAACGATTGGCAAATGTCGGCACGCCTCCCTTTAATAGGTGTTCAACGACCCTCCACGAAACATGATAAAAAATATATATACAATAAGTTCCTTGAAAATCCCTCATTTTCTCCAAAAAAAATGTTTTAAGAAATTAAGGACCATTTTGTAAAAATTAGAAAGCTTTGAAAAACCTTGAAATGAGAAGAGGGGGAGATAAATGGAAGTTATAGTAGTAGTAGTAATAATAGTGGCAGTAGTAGTAGTAGTAATAGATTGTGCCAAGACTTTTGCCTTTTGCCACTTAAAGTAGCTTTATTCATTTTCCCCTCATTTCGCTTAAATGATAACGGAGTAATAAAGAAAAGAAGGAATAGTTCGTGGAACTCTTATCTTGTAACTGTTTATGCACCGCACGAGTTATGGACTGTTAGTGGGCAGTAGTTTGTGTTTCTTCTGCCTGTAAGTAAAAAGCAAGACCAGTAGTTAAATGAACCTTCTTTCGTTGTTATTTCAACTCACTCTTACGCAGACAGTTTTCCACACAGTTCATTTTGGCTACTCTTTACTACTCTTAACATGTCTTGCATGCGCCCTGTATCTTACGGAATGAAGGCAACAATCACGCTTTCTATTGATACTTGATTATTGCGTTACAACTAACCCTTCTGACAACTGATGGCCTTTTTTCGTGTCTATAATAATTTACTAAATGGGATGTGCTGCAGCCAAACGACACCCAGGTGCAATAACTAAGGTTTGGCTCAGGGAATTGATTTGCTTTGACTGTCTTAGATGTAAGCATAACCACGCAGTAGTTAATTGCCTTTCTTTGTCATTCTTTTTGCTTATTCCTTCGCAGGCGGTTTTCAAAACGACACATTTTGGCTACTCTTTAACCTCCCTTTACCAGTGTTACGAAATCAGTCGCAACGTGTTCTACAGTTGCCCTATTTCTTATGGCATAAAAACAACAATTTGCAGACGACAATAGCGCTTTTTAACCTTTTTTTTAACGATAATCGATAACCGCGTGACACCTATCCTTTTCCGAGAATCAGTCGGAGTTATTTTGGTAACAAGATAATCCAACAGGCACGGTGCACGCCATGTGTTATCAAAGTATCGGAGAGAAACAAAACCGAGCAAAAACTAAAAAGGAGGAACTAACAAAGGTAGTAACTAACTAGTGACTTAAAATCCCTCTTCGAGAAGAAAAACAGGTCCGCAAAGGAATGTTTTGTTTATTAATTTTTTTTTTGGGGGGGGGGGGATTTCACCGCATTGCTATGAAGAAAGAATCAAACAGTTTTCAATAAAGCCCATTTTTGTTACCTCCTAACCTCTCTTCTGCAGAGTGGCATCACCAGTCTTAAAATGTTTTACAATTGCCCTGCTTCTAATTAATGGCGTGATATAAAGAAGTTACAGATAACAATCGCACTCTTTAACCGCGTGGCAATAAACTAACCCTGTTCCAAATATTCGGAAATATCTTGACAACAGGATAATCCAACAAGAGCGGCGAATGCCATATATTATCAAAGTATCAGCGTCCTGATGGGAGAGAGAAACAAAGCTATGAAAAAAACTTACGAAAAGGAGAAAACAACAGACACAATTGCTGACAACGTTTTTAAATTTCAATTTCTAATCTTCGAAAGAGAAGAAAATATGTCCACGGTAGATGGATTTTGTTGGTCTTTCAGCACATTGCTACGCATCAAGAACCAAACAGTATTCAATATACTCTACGATAATCCTGTTTCTAACGGTATGATTTCGGGAAATTACAGACGACAATCGCGCTCTTAGTCAGCGTGGCAATTAACCTTATTCCAAGAATTCGGGATTATTCTAAGAACAGGATAATCCAACAATCACGGCGTACGTTATGCAATAAAAAAGTATCAGCTCACTAATGCTGAAGAAAAACAAAACAAAAACAAAAATTAAAAAAAGAGGAACGACAGAGGCAGTAATTAACAAATACCCTAAAATCCTTCCTCACCTCCTTCAGAGAAGGAAATCATTTCCACAAAGGAATATTGGGGAATTTTGCCAAATTGCTATGAAGCAAGAAGCAAGCAGTTATCAATAAAGCCCATTTTGAAAACCTCTTAACTTCCCTTCTGAACTACTAAATCACCAGTCCTACAACGTTCTACAATTGCCTTGTTTCTACCGACATGATTTCAAGAAGTTACAGATAAAAATCGCACTCTTTAACCGCGTGGCAAATAACCAGCCCTTTTCCAAGAATTCGGAATTATTTTGATAGCAGGAAAATTCAACAAGAACGGCGCATGCCATATACTTTCAAAGTATCAGCGTTCTAATGTGAGAGAGAAATAAAGCTAAGCAAAGTTACTGAAAGGAAAAAACAGCAGACACAGTAGCTGACTATGTTTTTAAAAATTAAATCTCTGGTCTTCGTCAGAGAAGAAAAACATGTCCACAAAAGAAGAATTTTTTGGTATTTCAGCAAATCGGCTATGCAGCAAGAAGCAAACAGTTTTTAATACGGCCTAATTTTTGTTACCCCTTTAACCCCAAGCTCCCTTCAGTAGTGTTACGTCTGAACATGCTCTATAATAATCCTGTTTTTAATGGCATAATTCGAGAAATTACAGACCCTTTTCCAAGAATTCAGAGTTGTTAGGATACCCGGATAATCCAAAAAAGCGCGGCACATGTTATGCAATCAAAAAGTATCAGTGTACTAATACAAAAGAAAAACCGAAAAATTAAAAAAAAAGGAACAACAGAAAAGGCTTGTTTGACCCCTCTCGGATCTCTCTTAGAGAAGAAAAACAGGTCTATAAAGGAATTCCTTATTTGGTCTTTCAACACTTTGTTATGCAGTAAGAGGCAAACAGTTTTCAATACGCCCATTTTGGTTACCCTTTATCTCTAGCTATCTTCAGCAGTCTTGACATTTTTTATAACAGTCCTGTTTCCAACGGCATAACTTCGAGAAATTACAGACAACAATCGCACTCCGTACCGCGTGACAAACAACCCTTTTTCCAAGAATTCGGAGTTATTTTTATAACGGGATAATCCAACAAGCACCAGCACGGCGCACGTAACGTAATTAGAAGTATTTGCGTACTGATGCGAAAGAAGAACAAAACTAAGCGAAAACAAAAAGGGAGGAAATAAAAGACGTAGTGGTCGACATTTAAAATTTGTTTAAAGACCCATCTCCGATCTTCGTTTGAGAAGAAAATCATATCCACAGAATGGTGCAAAGGTGACCATTGCGTTGTTTATCCAAACTTATTGATTTATTTTCGGTAATTCTTCCGAAAAAGCAGCTTTTAGCGACTTACGTTTAGCCTTGATTCTATCGGATATATCAGGTCACTTGTTCCTCAATCTGACAGCAGCATTTAAGCATGTTCCGACCGCTTCTGTTCGCATTTCGTTCTGAAAGCTTGGGATCAGAGGAGCTTTCAGCTAGGTTGCAACTTTTGCATGCTGCCACAGAATGACCTTTACGAAGTTTTTTGGGCTGTTTGCTTTCCTAGTGATTTCTCTCGAGCTGTGTCTGTGTAGCGGTAAGTATCCCGTTGATTTTGTAGCTGGTTTGATTTGATAGTTTTACATCATTTAGGCAAACGTCAATCCCAATGCTAAACTTGCTGATTGTGCTTTATTTAATTTCACGGCTTGATCTGCAGAGTAGATAAAAAAAATATAGGAAAATTGCTTTGATACATCTCTTAATTATCCAACTGTCAGCTAATTTTCAATTTTCGAGCTGGTTTACAAGGTAGATCAGGCAAAGTTACCAATCTGGGACAACGCCTAATGGGTGTGAAGCGCCTCTGGAGAAAAATACACCTGTGCAACTACGTAGATTTTAGATCCTCCGCCACAAGATAGTCGAGGCGAAGAATTTTAATTGTGGCTCGATTGTTCATTTTATCATTAAGAGTTGCACAATATTTTACCTTGGGGCCTCAAAGTCACCCCTAAGTCCACCCTTTCAGTCTTGTGAATGTTAATGAGTCCATGCGTGTCAAGATCATTTTGCTGAATGCGTAGCAGCAGAAATTTTTGGGTGAACAAATCAATTTTCGTTGCATATATTTTCTTAAAACTAAGGTAAAATTCGCTAAAAGACACCGATTATAGCTAACTTCATTTAAATTTCAGCATTTTTGCTTTATTAGGTTCGGAAAAAATATTGACCACCTATTTCCGATATTCCTTTTAATAGATGTCTTCCAAGCTGGAAAGGTTAATATAACTGACACCTCCCAAAACAATCATGGTTGCCAGTCTGTCTCGTTCAAAACCCAGTTCCAAGGCTCGGGTGACGTCAGAGTCTTTGTTACTCTTAGCCATGGCAACAAACATATCAAAATCCACGACCCAGCAGTACTGTGGGTAAAATCGATCTCTACGTCAGGATTTAAGGTTTGTGTTCGCGAGGCAGGAAGTGGTTCAGCAGGTACATCTGTTATCAATTGGCTCGCATTCCAGGGGTCTCACCAAGGAATTAAGTCTGGCACCGTGGACTTTGATGAATGGACTACACGGACACAGTGCAAACGAGTATCGATCACCGATAACCAAAGTAATGTAAGTCTCATTCGTAACGTGTTTAGCGTGTGACTGTATTAGCCAAGAATGTTTTCATACGGTTTAGTTGCCAAGTTACTGTTGAGTTAACACTTTCACAGAAACAAGCCTTATTCAAATGAATGCGAACTTCAAAATCAAAAATTACTTAAATTACTTCTGATATCTCTTAATTTTCATCTGACCCTATACAGATTCACCTCTTGCCCCTGGAACGGAAAAGGAGATTCTAAAAGCTCAATTTTTAAGTTTCTAAAAGACACCGATTTTTCCTCTCACTCCCTCACAGGGTTTCAAGAACAAGCCAAAAGTGTTCATTACTGTTCAGCATAAACATACAGACAGACCTTATGACTCCATGAATCTATGGCTGGAAAATGTCAGCAAAAATAAATTTAATGTCTGTATGAGAGAGTTCATGGCGTTTGATGGCATTCACTCAGACCTCAAAGTGGTACGTTAACTCTCCAAAATTTTGCGATAAATGAACAGTATTGCGCTCAGATTGAAGCGACGGAATCCTATGTAATTTATAAAGTTCATGTAAGGCGCAAAATGCGTTGATTAGTTCTTTCTTTCATATTTTTTTCGCATCGTCTATTTGTGTTTTTTAGGCCTTTTATTCCTTTGTTTCACAACAGCTTAGTTTATATTTTTCTTGTATAGTTTATCATATTTGACTGTAATTTTTTTCTTTTATAATTATTGATTTATACTTTTGGGTTCACTAGCATTGGTTTGCATATGACGTTCTACCTTCCAACTGGAACTTCACTGAAGAAGGAAAGATTCATTTCGCCGGAAATGGGGCGCCATTACGAAAAAATAATTACGCTTTTTGCCAGGTGGGAAGTTTCTGGTATGATTTTTTAATTTTTTAATGTTTTGTTGCTGTTGTTGATGTTCTTTTCTTTTTTGCTGTTTTTGATCGTAGCCAAGGTGATATGACGAGTTTAGTTTTAACATTTCAAACACGCTGAGGTCAAGAGAACTTTTTACATAATTATTTTCATGAACAGGTCTATCCATCATTGAAAGTTTTAAGTCAATTTTTTGTGCCTTAAATCAGGATTTTAAGTTTGAAAACCCATTTTACGAGCCGCCTACAGTATTGATATCTGGAAGTCCAGAAAACACAACAAGTGCATTGTGGGGCAACTCAGAAGGTCGTTGTAACAACGCTATAAACGTTTGGATAGAGGTAACATATTCATAGGAGATACTTTTGTCATTCTCCTTGTATCCTTTAGTCGGTTTGTTTCTCTGTTTTGTCATGGGTTTTTTTTGCATTTTTTGTCGCTCTCTAGTCGAAATTTTTGATTTTTTGTTGTTGTTCTAAGAGAAAAAGAACATTTGTTAATAAAGGAATCAGGAGCTGTAATACAAGGCATACAATAAAGATTGATAAATTAATTACAAAGGATGTCGTCTTTCACGCCTTAATTTCGTTAAAAGGCTTGGAAATCACACCTCAGGTTAATAATTCAGATGTCAGTTTTACTTGGGAAAGGCTTGAGAACTTTAAACTGAATTTAAAGTGATTACTTTTTCTGTTGACCAATTTTTTTCTAATTGTCTTTGCAGGAGATCAGCCGGTCAGCGTTTAAAGTCTGTGTCAAGGACAGCCAAGGACTAAGCAAGAATCATGACTCAATAACCGTACAATATGCAATCATTGGAGGTGGGCAATAGACAAATAAATTTGCTTTGCCCTTGTCTTTCTACTAATAGCGAGGCACATCAGAAATTACTAGGAATTCCAAATCATGGGCTGGAATGAAGTACTTTCCTCAAGCTACCTTAACTATGAAATCACTCACCTAAAAGAGACTGAAAGGTGGTTTGCGTTGGTTTCCTCAGTTTTAAAACACCAATTCTTGCATTTGAATCTTTTCTCAGCAAGTTTTGTTCATTTATTTTCAGACATGTGAGAATACCTTAGCAACACTACAGCTCTGAAAACACCCCCCGATTTTCGCCTCATATGCCTGTCTGTATTTGGATAACGAGTTCAATAACCTTCATTTCTTATCATCGAATTATCATCAACATAGCAAGATTCACCTTTAACTTTTGCTTTTTGTTTTTGTTTGTTTTTTAACTGTACATGTGGTTCAAAGCAATATTTAATATGAGGTGGCCTCCTTATCGTATTTATAGATTCTTTAAGACCTTGAAAAAAAGAAATGAATCTTTAACTGTTGATTTCAAGTCAATTAAAATGGAAAGAGGTATTCGAAATTTTCTGCTTGTTTAGTTGCTTGATGCGAGTTTGATTTTCCTTTCCAACTTCAAAAAAAGAATTACGTGTGTTTCTATTAAATTGTAGTACTGCGATGGCTATTTTTAGAAAAAATGGCCGCAACTTTTCGAGAGGAATTACGATAATTTTAGTGACTCGATGTAATAGAAAGCGAGAAAATTAAGCCAGTCGGGAGTGTCGCTCTCTCATGTAGACCCCACCTTAATTTTGAAACACTATAAGCACTGCTCACTTGCTGATTATATTTGATACTATTCCAAAGACCTTGACCCGTGCATCAACGTTACATGCGATTACTTTGCTGTCTGCAAGGCATTCGACGCATTTGACGCCCGTTGCGTGTGCGAAGAAAACTGCCCTTCATATGAAGAACAAGTGTGTTCTTCTAACTCGACTACGTTCAAAAACAAGTGCATGTTTGAGCTGGATATATGCAGACTGAAGAGCAACCACACTCTGTATCATCCAGGAAGTTGTACGGGTAAGAAGTATATCTGCGATCATTTGCATGTTTTGGAGTTTATAGAATCAAGAGCGTTTCATCTTGCACGTAAGCTCACAAAGAAGCCCATTAACGAATCGTGAATACCGCTGTCCAATTCATGAAAAGATTGAGACATAAGGAAACGCCACTATAATGATGTATACCAAATGACACCTTAAATATGTCAGGAAAACATTTGCCTTAGTTTGGTGCTTTCACTAAGGCTCAGATCATTAGGATAGGTTACACACTTATGCTACCTATCATAGCTTTAGGTTATTTCAGAGACAAACGAAGATAAATATCAGAGTTATATCCTTAGCCAGCACTGACAGGATGAAAGTGTATGTAGTTTCTTGTTTTGGTTAAAGAGTATGTAGCTTCTTGCTTTGGTGAAAGTGTATGTAGTTTCTTGTTGGTTATGGTACCATCAGATACTAGAAAACTAAACTATATTAAGAGAGAATGAACACCCTATCACAGCACATGGCTGAAGGTTGATACTATTTCGATGTTACCAAAGGTTTTCCTGTTCAGAGAGGAAGAGTTGAGCTGAAGAGAGATGTTTCCTGGGCTGAAACAGCTTGCGAGTTGGTGACCTTCCCACCATTTTCGTTTTATCCCGACAAGGAGGTGCACGTGCAGATAACTACCAATCACTGGAACTCCACCAGGAGGAATTTCGTGCACGAAGCCACCGTCTCGTGGGTGGAAAATGTCAATTACCAGAATTTCAGGGTTCGTTATCCTTAAATTACTAGAAATGCATCAACTCTGTCACTGTTTACTTTGTCACTTGAGGATTGATTTCTTTTAAAAGTAGTCTTGATTTCGTCGAGATTAATAACACCGTTTCTAGGGGACCCCATGTTTACCAAAAATTATTTCTCTCTTGAAGGTTTGTGCAACGGCTGCAGGAAGAAATGACCGTGATACGAAAGAATTTGCTTCCGTCGACTGGATGGCTTACCAAGGAGCTCCAAATGGAGGTGTAACAGGAAATACAAATATTCCACAATGGTGGACTGGAACGAAGTGCATAAAAATTAGTCTGCCAACGGTGAGTGTGCGTTTTCCTCTCCCTTTTCCGGATGGAAGGTTTCCATATTATTGTTTCCATCAACAACGACGATAATAAAGCCAGTTGCAAACTTCTAGCCAAATCTGTATCATAATTTTGCAGTTTTGGATCATTCCTAACAAAATGGTTAAAATGACTGACCGTACCTCATTTCATTCTCTCTAATTAGCAACTAACAACCATGATTTCTTTACAAAGGATAAATTTGCTGCTACACCCATAATTCTGGTGACAGCAGATCACGTAACTTCAGCTTACAAGCACGACGCCGCCAGTCTGTGGGTAGAAAATGCTACCAGTTCTACCTTTTACATTTGCCTCCGAGAGTTACAAAATTATGACGGTCTCCATGAGGACATCCTTGTGGTATGTACCAACTCAACATCTGTGAACAGCTCGAGCAGTGTGACTTTATATTAAAAAAATCACAAGTTTCGTGTATTGTATCTTCCAATTTGTTTGTTTGTTTTTTTGGTCGCTGAACCATTGATCTAACAGAATATCCTTATCCGAAATCAAGAACGCCAATTTTTAAATTTCAACAAGATATAAGAAGAGTGTCAGTCGGGTTTTATTTCGAGCAAAAATTTGGGATACCTGTCATGGGGAAACAAAATCAGTCTTAATGTTTAAGTTGTACATTCAGACCGAAATGTCCGAATTTGCCTGGTTTATGGTAAAGAAACTTTATATCAAGGCGTTGTTTGAATTGTTCTCTCTAGAATTGGATGGCTTTTGAAGAAATTCATCGCCCGCTTTTCTCTGAAAGTAGAAAAATCGACTTTCCTAACAACAGCTCTGTTTCCGCAAACTACAATGGTGCGTTCTGCAAGGTACGCTGCACATGGCCTCCGCCTTGATTTAGTACTAATAATTCTAATTATCCTAGCAGTTATCTCTTATTTTGTCATCGTGTTCATTCATCACTTTTGCATAAAAAGCCTCACCTGGCTCATCAATGCAATTTGATTGAGTAAAGATTTTAGTAAAACATGCACTTGTAGCTGATAGACTTCCTGTTAACTGTTACCTTAGTTGATCTTTTTTATTTCTGATTATTCGTTGGCTGCTTCCTTGGTTGCTTTTCCTTGCAGGATGTGCAGTTCGTCAAGACTTACGACAAAAAACCAACGGTAATAATCGCCGCAAATCACAATTCAGATGGAAACAACCTAAAGTCAAAGTACATATCTGTAACCGCATGGATTGAGGTATTTTCTTTTCCCTTCACAGTTAACTATTTGATAATTTTTCCTATGTATATGCAGTTTCTCTATCCATTTAGTCAGCTGAACTCTAACTGTAAAATGTTCAGATGTGTGCGAAGTCCTTGTTCTGCCAAATGCAAATCCTCATCTAGGGATTTCCTTCTAATTGAATATATTTTTTGCAGCATATCAAGACATCAGAATTTCGTATTTGTCTCAAGGAGTTGTTTGCTGATCAGCATGACCCTGTTACTGTGTCTTACGTTGTCCTGGCGGGTAAGCATAACGACGACTGAAACAAAGCTATTATTGTATAGGTTACCCTTTTAAGCATACCGGTATATTAACTAAACTTCATCGCTTACTGTTTTTTCGGTTTAGACGTGTGTAAACCAGGCTGGTCATACTTTTCTGGCTTTTGCTACTCCACAAGTGAGTCGTGCAAAAACTGGACTGAGGCGCAAAAAACCTGCCAAAAATACAACACCAGCCTCATCGCCGTAAAAAGTCAAGAAATAAATGTTTATATACAGCAGCGTTTAAATGGAGATAGAGGGTGGATCGGATTCAATGACAGAGATACCGAGGGTACATTTGTTTGGGCTGATAACCAGTCAAGCAACTTCACTTACTGGGCTCCACATCAACCCAACGATTTCCGACTGAACGAAGACTGCGTTCACACCTTGGGAGTTGCACATAAATTTACATGGAATGACGTAAATTGCAAGAGCTGTCATAATTACACATGTTCAGAAGGTAAATACATTTTCTCTTCGGCAAGATCACATTACTTTAATCATTAATGGTTGCGACCGGAAGAGCAACTCAGTAACCTTACAGATTAACACTTGCTTGGTTGAATTAAAATCTGGAGTGGTTGAAATTTGATGACAATAATCTCACTCCACCCCTCTTTTCCTGCTTTACTCCATCCCCCATCCCTCCTTACTATGACTTGTCAGCGCTAGCTGGTTCCTGAACGTTGGCTTGTTTTCTGATTTATTTCTTGTTTCTCGTTGTTGCTGCTTTGTTGTTGTTGTTTCCTCATTCAAATGTTTCTCTATTCTAAGACCTTGATGAATGCAAAGGAAATTATCATGATTGCGGCAAAAATGGGATTTGTACAAATACGCAGGGATCATACAACTGCCACTGTGCCAGAGGGTATAGCGGTGATGGTCGGAGTTGTACAGGTATTGATAAGGAGTTCACCTCTATGTGTCCACATTCACAAACTCGGCTTAGCACAGCATTAATACTGGTAACGATATGTTTAAGTCCATTGCCAATAAATTAAATTAAGTACTCGTGTTTACTGACTGCATGCATTCGATTGATTGATTGATTGATTGATTGATTGATTGATATAATGATTGATTGACCATTGGGCGACTGACTTACTGAGCCAATGTATGATCAGGCCGCCACCTGAAACACCTACTGAACTAGACCAATATTATTTTTACTACAGACCAACTTTCTTTTGTCAATTATTCTGACTGAGCTAATTTGACCAGCATTCGTCAGGTCGTGTTTACACAAAACGCTTTGATGTAACAAACTCTGCGCATGTTGCAACCCTTTATGTCTTGTCTTTTCGTTCCTTTGGCAGACAAAGATGAATGTTCTTCAGGTCACAGATGTCATAGAAATGCCACGTGTCAAAACACAATTGGATCGTATACATGTTCTTGTGTTAATGGTTACACTGGCGATGGAATAAACTGCACAGGTACATTGTACATTGACATGGAAAAATCTTAGGTTGCAGTTTTCTTAACTTCAGTCTGAAAACGGATCACACACCTATTGTTTTAAGTATACGATATTCCATGCCATATGAAAGAGTTTTCAGCAACCTTATTCTCGGACCTATCACTTTTCCACTCAACAGATCGACACACTTCCCCCACCCCCACCTACAAATCAAGCGAAGAGACACTGAGAAGAAGGTTTCGTTCTCTATTGGTTCCAATGACATTCTATGACCTACACTGAAACTTACTGTCTCAACTTTTATTTTAAAAGCAGTTTATAAGTTTCATAATCTCAAATGAATAAAGAGGGAAGTTTCTAAAGAAACTGCGGTGCTGCGTCGGTTGGGGTATTACAAGATAATTTGTTTTTATCAACTCAGTCCATAAAACCAAATGAAGTAGTTCATAATCTCATTTGCTGTGATTGTTTTGAGATCTCCCTCAAGAATTACCCCAACACACACAAAAGGCTGGTCATACCAGAGCCATGTATTATTTAGATTGTATGAGGGATTACCAGAGAATTGTGTATGGGCAAATACGCAAATTATATTAACAAACATGTGTTGAAGGATGAAAGATGAACTCTTCTTGCTAAGTAGAGGGGAATACGATATATTTTTTAGCCGAAATTCGGAAATACTTTCATGACGTAAACTTTTAGTGCTAAGTAAGCAATACGAACGATGAATTGTTCATGAAAATAACTTTTCTCTGTGAGGTCTCCCTGAGAGCCCTCTTTAGTGACTGTTTAAAAGGGGATTTTAGAAAAAATAAACATGTGCATTAACCTGCGCATTTGTCTTGAGGTGCATTTTTTTCCCCTTATGTAGATGTCGATGAATGTACACTTAACAGTCATAACTGTGATGCCAACGCGCAATGCATCAACACTCCAGGATCATTCACGTGCCAGTGTAATCATTCGGCTCACTACTATGGAAACGGGACGAACTGTCATCCTTTCAGTAAGTCCTTGAACATCTGATAATTTATTTATCATGGTTTCGTTGGAAAAATGGTAATCTCGACCATATTGTACAATGCTATTATTCTGTTGAGGACGAGCAACAAGGGAGGCGAACGAAAATCAGCGAGAGTCACGCAAAAATTCTTTGTTTCGTTTTGTCTTTTTGCTTTACTTTTCCCCAAAAACTTCGCGAGAAGAGGCATATATTCAAACCAAGGCCTGATTCATTCTTTAGAGGTTATACGTGGTTACTATAAAAACATTTTTATTAAAAGTTCGTTCGCCTTTTTATCCATCAGGAGGACTCGCTGACTCGAAAATCATAGGTGGAGACACCAAACAAATGTCCCAATTACATTCCTGGCTACATTCCCGCTTGCAGAGTCAGGCTAACAGTTACTGGAGTCTGTGCTATAGAGCCTCAAGTCATGGATGGAGCTCTTCAACATTTCACAGCTATTGTGATCGCCGCGGACCCACAGTGACGATTATTCGTGCTCATGGTTACATATTTGGCGGTTACACTGATCAGTCATGGAGATGTAAGTTCGTTAACTGCCTCCGTATTTGATTAAAAACAATTGTGAGTCAGTGTTCTCAAATATACAAGATTATTATACGATAATATAATAATCGAGCGTTCTGATTGGTTCTTTTTTGGTCGGTTTTTCGTCATACGGTATTTTTGCTTGGAAACCGTCATAAGCCGTGTGTTTCTATTCACGAAAGCCAGCAAATAGAAAATAAGCAAGATTGGTTCGAGTGCCTTAAAATAAACTACCTATTAACCTCGCTCGCTCGGGCCGTACTGGGGAATACTAGCCTTCGGTCCTTACTACTTCCACGAACTCGGGCCAATATCCGCCAGTGTGGCTCTCGCACTCGGTCAGTTAGAAGTGATCATTTATCTGTGTCACAATAACATCAAGTTCAAAATACTAAATCATAGTTAAAACGTTTATTCAGAATTATATCGACATTTGGTTTACGTTATCAAGCGTTAATTATGTATTGAAAATGGACGAAAATGCTGGAAGTATCAACAGATCAACTGATCTGTCGAAAAGCTCATATGGATAGGGGACCAAGCTTTGAATAATTGGATACAACTGTTTTAAGTAAGCGAGAGTTTATTTGATGATAATACCCCTGGTCTCTGTCCCATGGTATGCCCCCCCCCCTTCCCCCTTTTTTTCATAGCGAATCCTAATTATCAGTTCTAATATTTTGTTTTGAATACATATGGTCTAAAATTTCTAATGTACTCTATGTGCTTTGCTTCAGATTACCGCAGATACAGTTACTATTATGGTTATCTTTATTATGGACAGTACACTTCTTCATCGAAAGCCTTCATATTTTCACTGAAGAACTATTACGGATATGGATACTTTAAAAAGGACATTAGCCAACATAACTATGCAACATACAATCATTATAATTATGGTCCGACATTCGGTGGGGGACATGATATTTACGTAGCAAGTAACGCAAATAGTAACTATAATTCTTACTTCAATTGTCAATCTTATACCGGGAAATACTGCAACAATAATGTCTGGACAGGAAGAAAATATTTCTGCGCAGATGAGATAGAGGTTTATTATGAAAGGACCAGTTAGTCGAGCAATCTGTAACGAGTTACGCATATGACACTATCAGCGTGGGGCATTCGTATTTACTCTTTAGTGCAAAACAAGTATGTTGTGGCTCCACAAGCTATAGAGCGATGTTCAAATAAAGGCGAGCTCACTTTTGTCTAGAGAGGAAATTGATTAAAATTCCGGGTGCAATAAGTCTGTGCATTATGGTAATATAATGAGGTCAGACTCATTTTACTTTTTCGTTACTTTCGACCATATTACTGCTTTATTGGAGAGAAGATTATCATTTCAAAAGGAAAATAGAGATCTTATAACATTGCATGGTTATCAAACAGATTTTTTCATTGGGTTGATTTAACACTTTTACCAAACGAAAGCTATAAAGTTATCTTAAACCTGAAATTCATCTGGAGTCATGCCTTCAGTTCATCTTCCGGGACTAAAGTCACGCGTGCAAAAAAAAAAATAGAGATTTTATAACATTGCATGGTTATGAAACAGACATAACTCTATCTCATCTGCGCACTTTTTTTGTTTAAGGGAACAATTATTTTTTGGAGATTACATTATATAACACAAAAGAACAAAATTTATCTTAAAATAATCTTGACTTGAGTGCAAATTTTATGAAACCCAGAATCAGAGATTATAGTGCTGTTAATTCATGGCATATTCGCATTCCGACGAGTAAACTGTGACCCCTTACTGCTGACCCTGTCAGCAGGCCTATGGAAATTTCTTTTACATGGTAGCAGTTAGTTAAATGTTTCCGTGATAATTATTTTAGTGTTCGGTCATACTGTTGACGTAACAAAAGCGAAATGATCGTATATCGATTGGAAAGATGTGGTTACAATAAACCTATATCATATTGAAGAGGCGATTCATAACTTTCGGTTCATAAGAATTCTTAAGAATTTAATTATAATGTGTAACAGCTGATGAAATAAACAGGTGATATTTTTCATGATATAGGAACTTTTTCTTCTCTTTGGATGTCATCACCCAAATATGCCATTTTTTGGTTGGTCTGATGGAGGCTCCAGTGACTGCATTTTGACGCATGGAAGTTAAAAAAAAAATTGGGAGAGTTGTGCAGATCATGTCCTACTTTTTATCCTCTTCGGGATATTTGCACAAATAACCTGGTCATTATCAGTCTCATTCACTCTCATTGCCCACTGAGCTTATGAATAGATGATAAACTCCTTATTTGTTAGATGAAGGAAGGAAAGCCTGCCCTCTTACCATAAATAAGCCCCTAACTCCACGCCCCCTCAAAATAATTCAAATGACTAGTACCTATGTTCCCTTGAATAAACTCCTCAACAGTTAGTGAGGAGCTCTAACGACGTGAAGGGCTGGAAAATAAAAAAAAGGAGCTCATTAAGTTCATGAAAATGAAGGAAGTGATAGGCAACTGAAGAAGCACGTGATTGTCGAACAAATTCTCCTTGTCAGCACTTAGGAAATGTGTAGAGAAAAGTATTGAGAATATGCATACTGATTTTTGGGTGTAAAGGATTAAGGACCGAAAGACGAAACTATCGAATTAACGTAGCACAGACATCATATCATCAACTAACAATTCTTAAACTGAAATGGACAGATATTACTTTTAACCAGTTTACCAAAATTAAAAGTATTATATTACAGGAAAGATTAATCTTCAATTTGCCAGGCGTGAAACTTATAAGGAAGTTTTGAGAAAATCGCTGTTAAAAATTGCTTTCACACTAAAAACGACAGAATTTGGAGAAAGGACGGTCGTTTTACTCTTTAAAATTCACTTTATTATATGTGCAAATTAAAGATACATCTTTAACCCTTTACACCCGAACATCAGTTGCATATTCTCTCTAATGTTCTCTATACATTTCCAAAAGTACTGGCGAGGAGATTGTTGATTGAGCGAGTTCCAGAAAAACAACTTCAGCGCCACACAGCGTGAACTTAACTCTCTGTGCTTCCGCAAAACTCCATTTTAATAACGAACGTGATCCCTTGTCAATCTCGTTTCACCATTTGGACTTTTAAGGAATTAAAATTTCTTAAAATTTAACATATCTTTTCGTTGTTCACAACACGAATAATATTTACTCTCTGTTTTTGGCCTCTTTTCAGCTTTTCGACCTGTTTGTTTTGTTTTTCCTGACATTTGAAACCGAGAGTAGCCAGGGAGTATCGTGCTCTTACGTAACCAGATAACGGGAGGAAGGTAGGAATGGGGGATTGTAGACCCCATCCTCATCACTTTTGGCCAACTTTGATGAAAAGAACCCAATTTAGCGAGTTGTCCATTTCGAGGTTTTCCACGTACATAAGAAAAGCTTTTCTTATGTACAGCGGTCGTAAATATTTCTATACAAACTCTTATAATTCCGCCATGACTGTTATTGCGCAAGATGATCATCTCACAGCTGGAGCTCGGGCCGCCTGTGACCCACGCGAACTTAATGGAAACAGAACATCAAAATAGTTTCTGAATTTAAAGAAAATCAATATAAAATCATAGTTGCTACAATAACATTTTTGCACCGGAAGAAGGCCATCACACCACTCAGATTTTGCACCATAGCGCCTTCACTTTATATCAGTTATCGTCTACTCTGATTAACTCCACTTTTGGGTGCCACCTCAGAACTTCAAACATAGACCTTGATCCCAAATCACCTATCATAATTTTGTTGTTTATTCTTGGATCGAAATAAAAAGATTTCCTTCACAGCAAGATTTACAATTTAGCATAAAGATTACATTTCCATAGAACTTGCATGAGACTAGTTAGCCCCCACCCTCCTCCTTACATTGTATGTTTCCATTCATGGTTTTTTTTCCTCATTTTCTTTTTCATGAAATAGCAGAAAAAATAACGCCTTCTTTGACCTCATTTGAGTAATACTTGATATCAGTCCTAACACGATCTGATGTTTTCCTATTTCATGTGGCATGATTTCAAAAACTTTGAGATACTAATAACACTCCTTAACCTCGTTTGAGAGAGATAACCAAGCTGTAACCCTTGCTCTTATTATTGTAAGAGCTTTTGTTGAAAGATGATCTGGTGTGAGCTCGATGCTATTGATGGTAAACACAGTTAAAGGACCAGCGAGGATTTCCCCCGCCGACAAAGAGAAAGTGATTATATATCCGGCAGATAAAACGATCAGAAAAAAACACATATACTGCAGAAATTGTAAGAAGACCTCAGTAACAATTTATTTAAATCCTCCAAAGAGAGCAAGTATAAAAAAACGATCGAGTAAAGGAATGCAAAAACGAGACAGTCATGTTTTTCCTACTTATCAGATTAGATGGAGTCAGTTAAATGTTTTAATGATAATCAACGTTGACTCATCGAAAGTATATCTCATCAATTTCATTTCTCCCTATGCGTTACGTAATTCTTACACAACCTTGCGCACCCACGCATAGGCGGCCCGAGCTCCAGCTGTGAGATGATCATCTTGTGCAACAGCAGCCATGGCGGAATTATAAGAGTTTGTATGGGAATATTTACGATGGCTTTAACGAATTAAAAAATACGTCAAATTCTCAATAAAAATACCTCACCTTACTTCCACAACGTATTACCTATTATCTGACCGCTTACTTTGATGAAAAGAACCCATTTTAGCGAGTTGACCATTTCGAGGTTTCCCACGTGCATTAAAAAAGCTTTTCTTATGTACAGCAGTCGTGAATATTCCTATACAAACTCTTATAATTCCGCCATGACTGTTATTGCGCGAAATGATCATCTCACACCTGTGACCCACGCGAACTTAATGGAAACAGAACATCAAAATAGTTTCTGAATTTAAAGAAAAACAATATAAAATCATTTCGCAGTTATTTGACAATAAATAGAAATGCAAATTCTAGTTGCTACAATAACATTTTTTCACCGCGTGAAGGCCATCACACCACTCGGATTTTGCACCACAGCGCCTTCGCTTTAGAAGTTTATCGCCTGCTCTGTTAACTCTACTTTTAGGTGCCACTTAAGAACTTCAAAAATAGACCTTGATCCCAAATCACGTATCATAATTTTGGTGTTTTTTTTCTTACATTGAAGTAAATAGATTTCGTTCACAGTAAGATTTACATCAGCATAAAGCTTGAATTTCCATAGAACTTGCACGCGACTAGTTAGCCCTCCCCCACCCTCCTCCCTACATTGTATGTTTTCATTGATGTTTTTTTTCTCATTTTGTAAATATCATAGACAAGTTGATACAGCCCGTTTCGGAACCCTACCCAAAAACCCCGTTTAAGCAACAATGTTTCAACAGTCCTTAAAACTTCTAACATATTCTTGTTTCTCATTGTATAATTAAAAAAAATAGCAGACAATTAACTGTGACCTTGTTTGAGCAATACCCGTGATGAGTCCTAACACGTTCTGATATTTTCCTATTTCATGTGGCATGATTTCAAAAAATTCGAGATAGTAATCATACTCTTTACCCTCGCTTGAGAGAGATAACCAAGCTGTAACTCTTGCTCTTTCCAAAAGTTCAATTTTGTAAAAGCTTTTGTTGAAAGATGATCCGGTGTCAGCTCGATGCTATTGATGGTAAACACGGTAAAAGGACCAGCGAGGATTCACTCTACGACTAAGAGAAAGTGATCATATCAGACAGAAACAACGAGCTTAAAAGGATATATTTTACAGCAACTGTAAGAGGAACTCAGTAACATTTTTATTTCAATCCTTCAAAGAGGGCGAATAAAAAAAAAAACAAAAAACACCCAGTAAACGAGACAAAGTATGGCTGATCAGTTTCATTTCTCATTCTATTTTTTGTTTCGAAAGGTCAGGGTGAATCCCTTTTACGTTGTTGTGGTTCTTTTTCATTTCAACAACTTAGTAACATTGTCACTCCCACCGAAAATAAACTTTCATAATCTTTTGAATGACAAAGACAACAAAATGCAGAGGTGCCGATAGTAAAAGTTAGGCATATTTTCATTTCTTACTGAGCTCACAATCAGCTGTACATAAGGCATCCATGAATACCAATGTGACGTAAATCAGTCACCCTATACTGTGAAAACGTGTAATTCTAATAAATACCGCAAAAGCGTTAAAGAAAAATCCAGACAGGAAAAAAAAAATTCAAGAGCACTTGGCACAGCTGACAAAATCAGTGATCTGTTACAGGATCGGAATTAATAACAATCCCGTAACTTCTTTGAAGCAAATAGCTATGACAAGTTTTCCTTTCTCTTTTTCATGGAAATTGACAACGAAACAAGCTCAGATCTCTTCCTATTTTTGCTGATTGTATTTGCCCTGCACACGTGCTCTGATTGGCTAGCTCGGAAAGATTAGAACGTAATTTTTGTTTCCGATTAGCCGTATAGAGCGGGAAATCGTACATGGAGACTTTGATACTTTCGACTATTTCTTTTTCTTTCTTCCTCAACTTTGTGAAGCAAAAAGCCCCTTCCGTTAATTTGTTATAAATCTGCTGAGGTTATAATATATACGTTTCCTGCTTTAAGAGAACCAAGAAAAATTCGTGCCGCTGAAGAGAATCGTGATCATGATCAAGCAGACGAAACTTAAGACAGGGTTGAGTGCCCTTTTATTATGTTAGGCATTTGGTTCTGGTAAATTTACATTTTATCGTCCATTTTTTTTTAATTGCTGTTTGTAAAGGCCTGTTTTGTAAAGACTAGCTCCCAGATGGATATCTACTTTCTGCTTTCAACTTAGTTTTACCTTGCGGGGTTTGATTCCTTCGGAGTACCAATCAAATTTCCTTTCTAGCACAAGTTTTAATTACGGTCCATCTTGGCTCCCCTTATACTCCCTTTAGCAGTGATGCGTCACCAGTGTAGAAAGCTGTCGTCCAATAACAAGCGATATCCCTTTAATGGGAAATGGTCGGGAGTACTGACTTACATACAGATAAGACAGATAATTTGAATAAACGGACAAGCCTCAACTATTCCGGACCGAAACGTACACAGACGGTCAACTCTTCCCCGGTGTACGCTAGTGGATATTGATTTCACATGTGTAAATTTATGCCGCCTCATCCCCCACTGCAGTTAAATTGTCATGCCGATGATCCGATAAGTCGCGAATTTTTTTCGCTTAAGTTCGGGGAAAAGCTCCTTAGCGTTACTTAAGTAGAAGTGTTTTTTGATGCTTAATGCGAAAAAATCGTTCCTAACTACAATGTTTCATTTTGGGTTAACCGTTAGACGTAAAATGGCCAAAATTTCTACTGTTAGCCGTAAAAGCATCACCCCATTGAGACCCTCATCTCAGCTCTCAACATTGCGTAACCGAGATGAAAGCATGACCTTATTACAACAATAAAACAAATAAATGTAGATCAATACTACATGTTTAACGTTACAACATGAATGTAAATTTAATCTATTTACCAGATAGATGAATATTTAGATGTAGAGATGAGTAAATGTGATTCGACTGAAAATAAATAATAGATACAAATATATAAGTACAAATATAACAACAACAACAACGACAGAGCTACATGAAATATAAACGAACTTACAATTTTTGGTGTAAACAGGAAAACTCTTAAACAAAAATAACACGGCGCTAGCAAAAACTAACGAAACGACTGACTTGATTAAAATCAACTAGCAATGAAAATTATCGAACGAAAACAAAGCTTATATCGCTACTAGCGTTACGTAGCCCTGATACAACCTTACACAAAAGACGCGAACTTAATTTAATAGAAACAGAACATCACAGTAGTAGCTCAATTGAAAAAAAAAGCAATTTAAAATCATTTCGCAGTTATATGACAATAAATTGAAATGTAAATTCTAGTTGTTACAATAACATTTTTGCACCGCAAGAAGGCCATCACACCACTCGGATTTTGCACCATAGCGTCTTCGCTTTATATGTTTATCGCCTTCTATGATTAACTATACTTTAGGATGCCACCTAAGAACTTCAAACATAGACCTTGATCCCACTCACCTAGCACAATTTTGGTGTTTAATTTTTTATAGATTTACATCAGCATAAAGCTAACATTTTCTCAGAATTTGCATGAGACTGGTTAGCTCCCCCACCCTCCTTCGTAAATTGTATGTTTCCATAGATGTTTTTTTCTCATTTCGTAAATATCATAGACGAGTTGATACAGCCCGTTTCGGAACCCTACCCTTAAACCCCGTTTAAGCAACAGTGTTTCAACAGTCCTTAAAACTTCTAACATATTCCTGTTTCTCATTGTATAATTTCATGAAATAGCAAACAATTAACGCCTTCTTCGACCTCGTTTGAGCAATACTCGAAAACACTCGTCCTATCACGTTCTGATATTTTGCTATTTCATGTGGCTAGATTTCAAAAACTTCTTGATAGTAATCACATTCTTTAAGCTGGTTGAAAGAGATAACCAAGCTGTAACTCTTGCTGTTTCCAAAAATTCAGTATTATCGTAAGAGCTTTTGTTGAAAGATGATCCGGTGTCAGCTCGATGCTATTGATGGTAAACACATTTAAAGGACCAGCGGGGATTTACTCCACCGACTAAGAGAAAGTGATCATATCAGACAGAAAAAACGAGCCAAAAACATATATTCCACAACAACTGTAAGAAGACCTCAGTAACATTTTATTTCAATTCTCCAAAGAGAGCAAATACGAAAAAACGACCGAGTAAAGAATGCAAAAGCGAGACAGTCATGTTTATCCTGCTTATCAAGTTAAATGTCTGAATGATAATCAACTTTGCCTCATTAATCCAAAGTATATCTGATCAGTTTCATTTCTTATTCTAATTTTGTTTCGAAAGGTTAGGGTGAGTTCCTTTTGCGTTGTTGCGATTCTTTTTTCATTTCAAGAACTTGGTGACATTTTTACTCATACCGAAAAAGAGCTGTCATTATTGTCTTGAATGACAAAGAAAACAAGGTTGAAATAGGAAAAGTGAGGTATATTTTCACCTTTTACCAAGCTCAAAACTAGCTGTATGTGTAAGGCTCCATGAATACAAATGTGATGTAACTCAGTCACTCTATACTGGGAAAACATGTGTAATTCCAATGAATACCGCAAAAGGGTTATAGAAAAATCCAGACGGAAAAAAAAAACCAAGAGCAGTTGGCGCAGCTGACAAAATCAGAGATCTGTTACCAGATCGGAATTAATAACCCCGTAACCACTTTTAAGCAAATGGCTACGTCATTTTTACTTTTTTCTTTTCAAAAAAATTGACAATGAAACAAGCTCAGATCTCTTCCTGTTTTTGCTGATGGTATTTACCCCGCACAAGTGTGCTAATTGGCTAGCTCGGAAAGATTAGAGCGTAATTTTCATTTCCGATAAACCGTAGAGACCGGGAAATCGTACCTTGAGAGTTTGATACTTTCGACTATTTCTTCGGTTTATTGACCAAAATGATAAACGTTTTGTTTCTTGTGTGGTGTATACTTATAGAATTATCTAGTACTGTTCACCTCCATCACGATAAATAATTTTTTATCATTCCATTCGATACTAAGCAGCAAAAAGCCAGAACATTCCAAGATGATACATTTCATTTTGGTAACCTACCCTTTAACCCTGGCTAAGGAACAGTGTTTCAACAGTCCTTAAAACTTCTAACATCTCTTTGTTTCTTATTGCGTGATATCAGGAAATTGCAGACAATAAAGGCCTTTAAAAAGCTAGTATGAGATAAGGCAACGAGACGATCCGCCCAATTAAATGGGAGAAGAATACCTCTAACTGAAAAATGAAACTGGACTCTTGCTCAACCAGCTCTAAAAGAAGAGACAAGTGCGGAGGAAGGGACTTATGGAAGACATGGGTGAGTTTTATTATTCAAATTATACTCAGACTTGCGGTAGACTCCTTGGACATAAACGTTATGAAAACCTAGTCACGTGAGCTACTTTCCCCTGACCTCGTTCCGGCAAAGCTATCAAATATCTCATTCCATATTCATGGTATCATTTAAAAAGCGGCAGAGGCTTCTTCTCGCATTCCCTGCTGAAGTTTGGGATCAGCGAATCCTCCAGAAAGGTTAGAACTTGTACTGCCACTGAATGGACGCTAAGAAGACATTTAGGCTCTCCGCTCTCCTTGTGTTTCTCCTCCAGCTGTGTCTTTCAAGTGGTGAGAATCTATATTTTTTTGTTCTGAGCTTATTTGATACATTCGCAAGAATTTAACTGTCTCTTTTATTGTTCCTCATCGCACCTTTGTTTACTTTGATTTACGAGCCGAAAAAAATAGCAGAAAATACGCATCTCCTAACTCGATCAACCCTTCAGGTGATCACGTCAGAAAGGAAGATGATTTTTATCAGAAGTGATTTGCGTCCTAAACAAAAGCAATTAAATGGGTAAGAAGTCTCTAACCTGGAATAATATCCACCTGAAATAAATCATAAACCTTTGTAGAAGAATTCACATAAACTGTCAAAGCTAGATATGCATGTGGTTTCTCGCCCTTAGAAAATTAACTCAGTCTATCTGTCTCTGAAGTCGCCCTCTGGTCCTAATCTTAAGGTGCGTAAATGTTACTGGCTTTTTCATTGTACATTTCACGTGGGTTAGCGATAACCCAAGGCCATCAACGTGCAATTTTGAGAGTAAACATTGCAATTAAGATTGAAAGTCACCTTCGTTAGCCAGTAAACTGTACATTGGTATTCCTGCATTTTTCTGTTCATAGTTGTGATATCGATAGTACCAGCCTTTCTATTTGATATGTTCCTTTATAGCAACTGTCTTTCAAGCTGGAAAGGTCAATATAACAGACACCTCCCAAAACAATCATGGTTGCCAGTCCGTCTCTTTCAAGACGCAGTTCCAGGGCTCGGGTGGCGTCAGAGTGTTCGTCACCCTTAACCATGGCAACAAACACATCAAAATCCACGACCCAGCTGTGCTGTGGGTGAAATCGATCTCTACGTCAGGATTTAAGGTTTGCGTTCGCGAGGCAGGAAGTGGCTCAGCAGGTACGTCTGTTATCAACTGGTTTGCATCTCAAGGTTCGCATCAAGGAATTAAGTTTGGCACCGTGGACTTCGATGAATGGGCCACAAGAACACAATGCAAACGAGTATCGATCACTGGTAACCGCAGTAATGTAAGTCTCGTTTCAAGTTTAGTCGTGTTCAACGTGTAGCTAAATTAGTACTTCAACATGTCAAATTTAATTGTCAAATGAATAAAGGGGTAAGTTTCTAAAGAAACTGTTGCTGCTGCGTCGGTGGGAGAGTACAGCAGGTAAGTTAGAGCTAACAACGGCATAGGGTAAAATATGGACTGGACTATTTTTTGGACCATTTAAAAGGGGAGGAGCACACCATTAGTATTGAGGGAGGGGTGGCATGAAGTCTATCAGTGCTAAGGGAGGGGTGGGAGGCAGAGTGTTATTACCCAGGGAGGGGCGAGAGAAGGACTATTGCTACGCAGGGAGGGGTTAGAGGTAGTTATAATAGTAAACACTACTAGTTAATGGAGCTTTTACTCGATTGTTCAAACTATTTTAATTGTATTTTCGACTGAATTTTTGTATGTCTAAATTTTAGCGCTGGACCGCGGTGTTTCGTCATTTTTTTATCATGCGAAAGCGAAACTGCCACGTAAACACTGGACTTTAATTTTTATTGAAAATATTTCGTTTACGATCCTCCACTGTTGAGTTATGCGTGCGCCTTTAGAGTCAACTTGTGCACCATCAGTTGCTTCACGTTTCTCTTTGTGTATTCAGTATGTAATTACTAAATTTATCTATCTTTCTTTTGTCATTGATCTTATCAAACGAGGTCACGGAATTTCCGGTCCTTAGCCCTTAAGTTAGCAGCATACAGAATTCACAAGCGCTATCGCAATTTTTAAGTTTACTCCTTTACTATATAAAATCATTAGCGAACGATTTCGAAGAGGAATCCGTGTTCTCGAAGCGACCAAAAACACTGCTGCACTTGCAAAATGGGAAAGCGCAAATATCGATTTCATCTGTTTCGCAAACAAAGGAGTTAATCACCGACACCGGAAATCGCGACCAGGTATTCCTCGCGACTCCCTTAGGTTTGTTTTCCAATTTGCCCGGGCCGCTGCCGATCACTTCTTGCGTAAAAACCTACGAAATCTGCGAAGTGGAACTATGGTGGCTACTGTTGCTTGTCGATATTTTTTGTCGGCAAAACGTAAAGTCCAGTGTTTACGTGGCAGTTTCGCTTTCGCATGACGAAAAACCACCTCCCACCCCTCCCTGCGTAGTAATAGTCCGTCTCTCGCCTCTCCCTGGGTAATAACCCTCTGTCTTCCACCCCTCCCTCGGTACTAATAGTGTGCTCCCCCCATTTAAAATGGTCTCAAAAAATGGTCCAAAAAATGGTCAAAAATAGATATTTTCAACCAAAATTAAGCAATTGCGACGAATCGGAATACCTTTAAAAGCAACGCACATGTCAAAATAGAATCGATGTTTTTATTGTTTTAACGAAAGGTTAGCCTAGCTAAGAGGAGCTTTATCTTAAATTTTAGTCGGCAACATAGAGTTTAGTTCGTTACCGCTCCAAAGTCGCCCTAAAGCATTCAGCCATTACCGAGACGTGTTCCAGCTGAGACGGCAATCGCACAACAGAGAACCTTCATAATTCTCCCTGTTTTCTACAGTAAAACGTCAAAATTCCCTTTATTTTGCTGTCTTTTCCGAAATGATGGCCAAATGAGATGCATTTCTGTCTTAATTGTTTTTAACTATTAAAAAGAAACAAACAAGCGACACACGTGGACATACTTACTTATCAACGAGATCGCATTGAGGATGGTAGGAACTGATTATGGAAGAAATCTTCGCCTAAATCTTCCATGTACATGTAGTTGTCACAAAGCAGCCTTCTAAAATTGTTCGTCCAAAATAGAAAAAAAAAGAAGCCATTTGGGTTGAAATTTGCGAGGTGAATCTACACAAATCGAGCCCACCTCCTTACAAATTGCAAATTACAAAGTTCACATGGACTTCCGAAATATGGTCAAATAATGGCGACCGCGAAATCTCAAATTTAACGGTCCAAAATACCCCCTTCTGTCCCTCGAAACGGATTGAGATTTTTCAAGGTAAGCAAGAGAGTCACGAGGTAGGCAAAAATGTAAAGAAATGAGATGTGAAGAAAAAATTTATCTCGGGAATTTAAATGGATCCAGCAGGAAAAGAACTGAAAAATATCTCCTCGTCACCAATATATACTGATATTCTCACATTGTTTTTTATTAACCACTGTAAAAAAGAAGGTTAACGTTTTATCCTGGTTATAAGTCTGATTTATTTCCCTCTAACTTTCTTCACAGGGTTTTAAGAGCAAGCCTCAAATTTTTATTACTGTTCAGCATAAGCATACGGACAGACCATATGATTCCATGAATCTTTGGCTGGAAGATGTCAAGAAAAACGAGTTTCATATCTGTATGAGAGAGTTAATGGCGTTTGATGGCATCCATTCAGACCTAAAAGTGGTAAGTTGACCGCAAAATTTCAGTACAATCGAGAAGCACGCATACTTTGGGCCATAACCAGCGTAAATTCACTACCATCGTGCAAATTGCATTTGTTAATTAGCCTATTACTGTTTGTTAATTTTTTTGGTTTCTTTCGTTGCTGACTATACCAGCTTAGTTTATATATCTTTGCACGACGTAGATTGCTTTCACTACTTGAGATCATTGTAATCTCTCTCCTCCATACTTTTTATTCATTTCATTTTTCTTTTGTTCTCGTCAGCACTGGATTGCATACGACACCCTTCCCTCCTACTGGAACTTCACTGAGCGAGGGAAAATTAATTTTGCTGGATTAGGGACTCCATTAAAGGAAAATAACTACGCTTTTTGCCAGGTAAAAATCATTTTTCCCTTACCCATTACTTTAATAAAGCTTTAGGTTGTTTTCTTAAGAGGATTTGGCGAGGGAAAGTTTGCGAAGAGAACTAAGTATTATGCGGTCACCCTGTGTTAAGCGATCGGTCGTCAAAGTTCCGAAAATTTTCCCCCTTAATCATTGTAATTTTCACCTCTACTGAGGGGTCACCTCTCCTAAGCGGCCGGTGGTCACCCTTGAGTCCCAACAGTTCTGTTTCTATTGTCTACCATCTTTATTCAACGGTCACCCAAAGCCGAATCTCTCAAATAACTTTAAGTATATCTCTTCATACAGGTTTAACAGTAGTCTTATTTACTTGGACAAAATGAATCAGTTATATTGAAAAGGAGGAAGCCCTTGTAAATAGTGCTGACACCGTTATGATCAGTGTTTATGCCTATCGCCTAGTTAGGCTATCGCCATCAAAAAGAGCTGTAGACTATAATTTCGTTTTTTTTAATTAAAAAAAATAGGATTTGAAATTTGAAACTTCATTCTACAAGCCACCTGTTGTCCTGATATCCGGAGGTTACGAAAACTCCACCTGTGCGTCGTCAAGTGATTCGGATGGTTGTCACAACGCGATGAACGTTTGGATGGAGGTACATGTCAGCTTGCCACTTGATTTTTTTTTTCGCTATATTTATTGTTGTTTTGTTTTATTTTTTCTTTTTCATATTATTACTTGGTCTCAAAACATCATATCACATTGGTCAGGCAGTGGAAAGAGCTCTAAATAGGCAATGAGGCTGAAAGAAGTGAAAACAGTTCCGTAACATGTTGTCTTTAAAACTTTTAAATTAGGTTCTAGGTCAGAAATCATTTGGGATAACATCCTTTAAAGGGATGATATTGGGTGAATATAATTTTCCTTTACCTCTCTCTTTTGTTTTTAATCATTGTTTCGCAGGAAGTCAGTCAATCGGCGTTTAAGGTTTGTGTCAAGGACAGCCAGGGAATAAGTAGGAATCACGATCCAATAGCAGTAGATTACGCTGTCATTGGAGGTAAGCATTAGAGAGATTTTTTGAAAGCGGTTTACCCATTGTGATTGATCTGGGTTTTAAAGGGTTATCACAAGTGAAAAATGTCTAAAAAAACCCAATCTTTTCTTGTCTTAAAAATTCTTCTTCCAACGGAAGCTTTGAAAATGGAAAAAGGCTCACTGTATCATTATATTTAATGCTATCCCAAGAGCCTGACCCGTGCATCAACGTTACATGTGAACACTTTGCTGTCTGCAAGGCATTCGACGCATTTGACGCCCGCTGTGTGTGCGAAGAAAACTGTCCTTCATACGAGGAGCCAGTGTGTTCATCCAACTCTACCACATTTAAAAACAAGTGTATCTTTGAACTGGAAATGTGCAGGCTGAAGAGTAACCATACTCTGTATCATCCTGGAAGCTGCACTGGTGAGACTTAAACTTTACTTATTTGTTAATTTTCTTAATTAGGTATAAATCATTACGATGTTTTCATCAGGATACTATAGGGAGTTGCAGCGTAAATAACAGCACAGTGATATTTCAAGTGATTGTGAAAGCTGGTTATAACCTCCCTTGACATATATTGTGTTCAAGGTCGGCAGTTTTAGTGTTGTTTCAACATGGTGCAATTACAAATGTTATCACGAAATTTTAAAACTGGTGTAGGGAGGAAAAATGCCAAACACTGCTTGCTGACACCGCATAACATGGTCTTCTTTATCGTTGCTGATTTAGGTTTTCCTGTCCGGCGTGGGCGAGTTGAACTTAAACGAGATGTTTCCTGGGCTGACACAGCTTGCGAGCTGGTGACCTTCCCACCATTTTCGTTCTATCCGGACAAACAGGTGCATGTTCAGATCACAACAAATCACTGGAACTCCACCAGAAAGAACTTCGTGCACGAAGCCACCGTCTCTTGGGTGGAAAATGTCAATTACCAAAATTTTAAGGTGAGTAATAATAAAATGACTTTAAAAAAATATCGATAATGTTAATGTTATTTCAGATTTGCTATCAAATTCTGTAACCAAACCAAAACTTTTGTAACAAGCAAAAAAATTAAAAACACATTGTTTTTATTCCTTTTAGTGTATTTCTAGGTAACTATTCAGCAGAATCGAAACTATCAACCTAAATACTGCAAACTCTTCGCTGACTGCACTAATGTACTCTGAAAACTCTTTTTTTATTTCATTTTTTGTAAAATTTCCGTCCCATCGAGTTAGTATATAAGTAAATCATTAGGAGAATTATGTTATGAAGGTAACGCTTAACAGTAATTAAAATAACTGACAAACTGGTGGCCCTCAAAGTTCAAGTTAGTTTGCATTCGACGGTGTCGTGTCAGATATCATTTACCAATGGCGAAAAAGGCGGAAACACGATTTATTTGTTTCCCATTCATCCTTCACTCATTCATTCATTCATTCAGTCATTCATTTATTCATTTTTATAGGTTTGTGTGACGGCTGCAGGCAGAAATGACCGTGGTACTAAAGAATTTGCGTTCGTTGACTGGATGGCTTACCAAGGTGCTCCAAACGGAGGTGTGGCGGGAAAAACACGGATTCCAGAATGGTGGACCGGAACGAAATGCCAAAAAATTACCTTACCCAGTGTGAGCTTCCTTTTTGTTTATAATGATTATGTTTGACAATTTGCATCATCTCAGATAATGAAATAAAAATCATTTTAGCTAATAAAAATGACCGACTCCTACGAATAGAACATTTCATTTTCCCTCATAAACAGCTGACAAATGTTAATTTGTTTAAACAAAACCAGGGTAAATTCGCTGCAAAACCTATCGTTCTGGCTACAGCGGATCACGTAAGTTCCGCCTACAAGCACGACGCCGCAAGTCTTTGGATAGAAAATGCCACCAGTTCCTCATTCTATATCTGTCTCCGTGAACTGCAAAATTACGATGGTCTCCATGAAGACATTTTTGTGGTATGTGGACTTTCAGCATCTTGAACCACTCAACGATTAACCAAAATCAAAGCTCATGGTGACCAAGTTTTGTTATAATAGTATTTTGTATTTTCACATATGAGTTTTTCCTCTTGCTGATTGATCCTCACATGGCTATTTCATTTGGTTTTAAAATTCGTAGTTCAGCAATCTCTTTTATAGGTCCACTTTTTTTTTTCTTTTTTTTTTTGTAGTTGTTTTTTTTATGTTATTTTCTTAAGAATTTGTTTCGATGTGATTACATTTGAACTTTTAAGGAAACAATTGATTTATTTATAACAATTGTTCAAGAGTTGCCCACACTTTGGAGGGAAAATCGTTTCGTCAGCGATTACCTTCTTGCAGTTCCAAAATTCTCAGAGGCCTGCCGGTTGAACAAACAAAATGAACCCTTCCACGAACCTTTCAACCGAAATTCCTGATGCTTCTGGGTTAATGGTATATAAACATCATTTTAAAACTTTATTTAAACATCTTTTTTTTAAGAGCTGGATGGCTTTCGAAGCAATACATCGCCCACTATTTACCGAAAGTAAAAATATCGAGTTCCCTAACAACAACTCGGTTTCTAAAAACTACAATGGCGCATTCTGCGAGGTAGGTAGCAAATATGCATGTTAATCGTAAATACCCAGAGTACAGTTGACACGACTCGTAGTAACCAATTTTCACTCTTACTAGTAGTTTATCTGTCGTTTTGTTTGCTGGCTTACCTGACAGTTTTGAATGCAACATTTTGGCCTTATTTTTTGCAGGACGTGCAGTTTTCAAAGTCGTATGACAAAGAACCTACAATAATAGTTACACCAAATCACGAGTCAAAGGGAAACAACTTAAAACCAACTTACACGTCTGTTGCTGCATGGATAGAGGTGTCCTTATGTTTATATTCTTTACTTTTTGATGTTCGAAGGAGTATTTTCTAATGTGCATGATGCAGATAAGAGTTCACTTGTTTCAGCAGAACCCTAGCCTTAATGTTTATGTTGATATTTCGTGATGTCAACTTTTACTCACGACAGCCTTTCTTGACTCAATTTTCAGCATATAAAGAAGTCAGAATTTCGTATTTGTCTCAAGGAGCTGTTTGCTGATCAGCATGATCCTATTACCGTATCTTATGTTATTCTAGCTGGTGAGTACTTTTACATGACAAAAACAAAGTGATTGTCTTGGTTCACATGTGGTCAGCGAAAAGGAATACTAAGGGCTTGTTTCTTCTTCTTCTTCATTTTTCTTTCGTATGGTGCGTTGTTCGGTGAAGACGTTTGTAAGCCTGGCTGGTCATACTTCTCTGGTGTTTGCTACTCCACAAGTCAGTCATGCAAGAACTGGACTGAAGCTCAAAATACCTGCCAAAGAGACAATGCCAACCTGGTCGCCATTAAAACTCAAGAAGCAAATGTTTACGTTCAGCACCGTCTAAATGGAGAGAAGGGTTGGATCGGACTGAATGACAGAGACGCCGAGGGCACATTTGTTTGGGCTGGTAACCAGTCAAGCAACTTCACATATTGGGCTCCAAATCAACCTAACGATTTCAGACTAGACGAGGACTGCGTTCATACCCTAGGAGTTGGACATAGTTTTGAGTGGAATGACGTAAGCTGCGGAAGCTGCCATAACTTCACGTGTTCAGAGGGTAAGGGAATTGTAATTTTGCACGTCCGTATCAGTCAAATAATGCATCAGCTTTGGATATTTATTTGTTGGAGAGAAAAATTTCGGAATGCTTGTTTGGTTCAGAAATAGTAGATGGAATGCTGAAAAAAAAAGGGTTTGGAAAACTAACAAAGCTACAATCGAAAACCTTCCCCATCCCTTTTCACTACGCTTTATTTTAATTAACCTGTTTCTCAGTATGTTTCTTTTTTTGCCTTTTTTATCACCTTTTCTTCTCAAGACCTTGATGAATGCGTAGGAAATAATCATGACTGCAGCAAGAATGGTATCTGCACGAACACACATGGATCGTATAAATGCCATTGTGCCAGTGGGTATAGCGGTGATGGTTGGAGTTGTGCAGGTATTACTTTAGGGGATTTACCCTCATTAAGGCTGTCACTCAGAGAAACTTAGCCAAGCGTAAATACTGCAATAATGTGTTCCGAGTTCATGTGCAAATCAATACATGGCAAAATTTCAGAACCCCCTATGTCATGCTTAAATTATGAAGTTTTGCCGTCTAATGTACTGATAAGGGATGGATTGATGATTGATTGATTGACTGACTGATTAATTGAATATATGATCTATCGATCGATCGAAACACAGAATGACCAACTGCTGAATAACTGACTGATGGACAGAGGGATCTGATTAACCGACCCATTTATTAATGCCTTATTGGTATAAGACCATTTAAACTTGACAAAATTCTTATCAATTCACTGTACTTAATGTATTGAAAGATGGAAGGGGTTAGCAACCTGTAGCTTTCTGCGTACAAGGAACGCTTTGGGCATGTTGGAGTCCCTCACGTTTTTTTTTACCGCTCCTGTTGCAGATATAGATGAATGTTCTATAAGTAATGGGTGTGATAGCAGTGCAACGTGTCAAAACACAGATGGATCGTATACTTGTAGTTGCATAAACGGCTATACTGGAGATGGAAACACTTGTAGAGGTACATTTACTAGGCATCGGCGTTAAACTTTTTTCATACTTTTGAAATAAAATACAACATTCGCACTCTACAAAGCTATAGGACGATTCCATTCTTTCCCTCAGCCGTTTTTGAACAAGCTTTCGTATCTAACAATTAATATTTCGAATAAAATTAATTGTTTTCAGTATTTCTTTTTCAATGTATTCTAAAATATCTTAAGCCATCATTCGGGTGTGCAAGACTTTGTTGCTAGTGCATTTGACCAAAGCGGAGGAAAGCTGATGAGGCATAAACAGTCCGCCGGGGTAAAGTACCAAGTTCTCTGCAGAAGATAATTTATTTGCTATTCATATTTTACTTGAATTAATCGGGTTTTTTTTAAATACAATGTAAGCGGTCAAATGCTTCTTTAGGAGAATTATTTCTAAAAAACGTTTCTCCATCACTCACTTTCCCTGTCACACCGCAAAGACCTTAGTGATAAAAGGGATATTTTCATTGACTCGGGCAAACCTTAAGATGCGTTCTTTCTCCTATCATTTAGATGTCGATGAATGCACACTCAACAGTCATGACTGTGATGCCAACGCAAATTGTACAAACACACCAGGATCATTTACTTGCGAGTGTGACCATAGCTCTCACTACTATGGCAATGGAAAAACGTGCTATGCTAACCGTAAGTTTGGACTTTAATAGTCTTTCCGTCATTGGTTTGTGAAAGGAACGTTGGCCTATGGGTCTAGGTTTTGAGCCCTGAAGCCTGTTTCCCGAAAGTTCTGGTAACTAAGCCATATTTAAAAATCAAGATTTTAAGAAGAGAGAAGCAAATTGTGGAACCTAACGAGTCCACCTTGGGTTTTTTTTTAAACTTATCGTTTTGTGGCATGATTTTCAAAACGTTTGAAACCCCAAAACAGAACTGCTTTTCAGGTCCGTTAGGTTACCGGGACCTTTGAAAAACGGGCCCCTCGCCCGGTTGGTTTTACTATCACGCTACCTGTAACCGGAGATGAGTGTATATGGGCACTTTCAAACTGTGATGGAGTAGAAATTTACCACACTGTGAGGTTCTTCTTGCTAAATCGGATGAGCTCGAGTGTCTGGGTTGTTAGAATGAGCACCAATACCTTACCCTTAATATGAAGCTTAATGAAATTCGTGCTGACGACTTTCACCATGGAATAATTTAGTGTTTTAATTGGGCCACGTGATCGAATATACCTTAACTGAACCTGGGAATATATCTAGTAATGATTTTCCGGTGACGTTCCCTCTGGTTTCACACCTTGCCCGATCAAAGCTCTGAAAGTCGGCGGTAGGCCGTTGATGAAAGTTTTTTTTCCACGTGATGCCAAAAAATGTGTGGTGGATATGAGAGAGGGTAAACAGAGAGAACTTATCCCTGAAACATAACCCTTTTTCCAAAGATAATTTTTAAAATCTAGTTTAGTGCGCTTTATTGCTTTACTGCATGTGGTTTGGTGTTCATTATGATATTGTGATGACATTTTTTGGTCAAGGCAATAAAACATAAGCTGAGGAGGCTTAACCTCCGAGCTCTACTCCAGAAGCCTGAGTTTATACATAAACTTCCCCTATACTCCACACATGCTGGATAATGACTTAATAGCTAGCCTACGTGCGGTTTGAGAATACTCTCTTGTATTTGAAACCAGAGATTATGAGTTCCTGCTTCGCTTTCGGAGAACTTTTTGCATGTCGGGACCGATCATATCCGCCAAAAAATGTCCGAGTGGACATAAAAGCTTTAAAGCTTAAAAGCTTTCCTCAAGAGATAGGATTTTAATTATTGTAAATCACATTTATACATATGAAGCATGAACCATTAAAATTTCGTTTCATTACAAGGGACTAATGTATTGGTTATACTTCCTGATGAGATCAAGCTAAAACTTTGATGAACTATATATTTTAGTGCTTGAACAACGTCCTACGTCACAAGTAGTGCACCATTTAGAAGCCTTTATTACGGAATAACTTAAAGCAGCAGCTGAACAGATCGTCTCCGATAAATGCTTAAAATAAAATACCTTATTAGAAAAAGCGTCAGTTAATATGGCGACTCTCATTCTGCCCGAATTTTTCTGTTTCCTATTGTTTTAGAGTTCATTCATTCTCATTTGTGAAGCTTCTCCTTAAACCTTATTGAAAACAAATTATTTTACACTGTGAACTCTCGGAATATTAAAATTGCTAATTCGAAGAGTCAAAAATTTGAACGACTTATGGTTTTAACAAAACTTATGTCCGAGCACTGAAAGAAGGTTGTTAATTCATGTCGTGGAAAAGACAGATTTCTTTAAATTTAGTGAACTAAGATTTTAGTAATTCTTCTGTCACTAGTGCTTTATCTGCCAGACGTTAACACAGCATACACATTATTGACATTTCCGTTAAATTTTCTTCTCCCAGGTGGCCTCGATGACTCATATATCATAGGTGGAGACACAAGTAAAATGACCCAGCTGAATTCCTGGCTTCATTCCCGCTTGCAGAGTGCGTCGAAAAGTTACTGGAGACGGTGCTACAGGGCTTCTCAGAATGGATGGTATTCACGAACATTTCACCGCCAGTGCGATAACCTTGGACCCACTGTGACCATAATTCGTGCTCATGGCTACATATTTGGTGGTTATACTGATAAGTCATGGCAATGTACGTGAGCTACCACTGCAATCTATCAAAACAAATTTAGAATGTTCAATTCTAGTTTTTTTTAGGTAACGCCTGGCAAACAATGATTACCTAGTCGATACATTTGATCGAAGAAAAAGACAATCCAAAACGATTTACTACACGTGATATAAAACTGTGCTTTTTTGCTAGGTTTAACATGTGGAGGTTTTTCTTGATGGTGACTTTGCCACACATTAGCGGACCTCTAAAAGTGAAAACGTTCCGCTTTAGTCACGTTTCATTAGATTTTATGGATTTGAAGCTGGATTTCAAAGTGAGGAATTTGTGTTTAAATTTAAAGTTTTGGAATTCTAAACGATTTTTTTATTTTGAAACCCGTAATTTCGACGTTCTTGTCTGTGAGTTTTCCGAGGTATTCAAATTTTTTTCCATTGACGTCCTTACATTAAGTATTCAAGCATTCCCAGGCTGAAAGTAGAATTTTTACCTTATCATATGCACAACTGGCACGCTATGTGCGGAATTTGAGATTTGAAACCATCATGGACGGATAGTTGAGTTTAAAAAAAGCATCTGTTTCGGATTTCCGCTTGTTTCTCTAGCTGTAAACGGTTGAGAATCCGAATACGTTATCACCAGAAGCTCATTCGACTCTAAAATTCTCCGGAGACGATGAATCCCGAAACTCTCTATTAAATCTGGAAAAAAAATCTCCTCTGCTGGTTTTAAAATCTTAAAGTAAATACAAAATGGGTAAAATTTTGGTTAGAGTTGACGATGTTGCTTCAAGCAAGAAAAAAATATAATTAAGAAAAAAGAAAAGAAAGATACTTTTGTAAAGATTTATAAGTCATTAAAATTAAATTGCTGCTTTTTTTCAGGGTCCCAAGGATACATCTATTCAACACGAGCCTTTATCTACTCTCTTAAAAACTACTACGGATACGGATACTTTAAAAAGGATGTTAACGCCTATCCATCTTATGCCACATACAGCTACTATAATTACGGTCCGACCTTCGGTGGAGGACACGATATTTACGTTGCAAGCTATGCAAGCAGTAGCTATAGTTCTTACTTCAGCTGTCACTCGTACACCAGTCCATATTGTAACAATTATATGTGGACAGGAAGTTCTTCTTTCTGCGCAGATGAGGTAGAGGTTTACTACGAAGCAATTTCAACCATTTGAGTAACTTTTAAGAAATGATTGGAAAGTGTAGATCTCTAACAATCCTAGCTACATCCTTCTAATGAAACTTTTATTTTTCTATCGAGGTTACGGCACAAGTTAATTAGAAGCATGTTTTCATTTTTTTTCTTATATATACATGTTTGCCCGTAAAAAGGTTGTAAGCTGATTAAAATTTTCCGAAATGAAGATGACACTTGAGTGTATTTTATAATTACACACCGTCTGGCTTACTGTTTTATTAGGCTAAGACTAACTACAAAAAACATCTTAAGCAGAAAGCAATTTGATGAAAAAGAAAAAATTACACAAGGAAAATTTGAAAAAGACATCAGCATCAATTTATGCCTGTTTTAGCATTTATCACGTGCGTCATTTCATCTGTTCAGGGTACGTTTTGCGGTGGCTGGAAGCAGCTAAAGACAGAACAAAAACAAAAAAAATGTCCGGCGATAGAAAGCACCCGGCATAGTTATATAAATGGTTTGATCACACTAAGAACGATATTTGAATTGATTCAAAATGGATTTTTTCATTATTGAATAAAACGTTAAACGGAACGATTTTTGAAACTTCTGCCCAAGTTTTAACATCCAAAGTTGTCAGCAGTAAAACTGTTCAAGAGAGTTTTGAACTTACAGTTGTTATAGACGCCTCACGAGAGGTTTCACAACAGGAAACAGTTTGAAAATCTGTTGACAATGATCCCGAGGACCACATACTGAAAATGTGGGAAAATGATTTTAATACCAACTCTAAACTGTCCATTGACAAATAGTTAGTTGCCTAATAAGAAAATACGAGAATATGAGAAGAAAAATCAAGTGGTATTGAAGTCTCTACCAGCCAATCACGAACAGTGGTTGAGATATCAAATTGCATGAACATGTCACGAGCGTGGGACAAAGAAAAGATTCTGAGTCCCCATGAGGAATCGAACTCAGACCTCCGGATTCCGCGCTCCGATGCTCTACCACTGAGCCACAGAGACTCTAGAGTGGGCGAAGTTCATGTTTGTAAATAGAATAAGAGAAATGGTAAGTTTTGAGCTCGGTAAAGAAAGAGAGAAAGATTTTTTTTATCCCACGCTCGTGACAAGAATAAAAAACAACCATCTCTGCTATTCTATTTACAAACATGACTCTATTAACATTGCTGATCTTAGCAGTATGCGGAACGCGTGTCACATGAACTTCGAATTCGTAATAGACCTCGCTCTCTCTAGACGAAAAGTGTGGCACTTTAGTCACCTTTTCTCTCCCTTGTTAGAACTTCTTCAAAATCTTGCCCTTTTCAATGAAACTCTAGGAGTTACAATAGCAGAGTACTGTGCATGTTTGTCCAGAGTTTTACGTCCACAACTTAAAATGCTTTTATCTTAGATGGCTTTTTACATCAAAAAAGGTACAAAAGTGCCAGTGATCGGGGTTTCGCAAACAAAAGAAGGGAACAATCCAATTTTATGTTGAATAAATAGATAGATGAGAGACTAATAAACGCTGGCATATTCCCCCGACCACCCCGCCAATTTTAAACAGGGTATTGAAGAGATTGGCAGAAAGTCGGGTGTAATAGTATAAACTTTCATCTACGTTCAAGTTTACCGTTTCGAAAAAGGCCTAAAGTTTACTCTTTGAACTTGAATGTTTTACTGCGGTCAAGGCATTTGAGGAAAAAGTCTGAAACGTTATTATGTTTGACCTTGTCTACTTAGCATTATGTTGACCAAGTTACAGCTTTTCAGCTTGCGTGGTTTTGCAATTACAGCCACTTTTTTGGAACCATGTCTTGTTGCGAAGCCGCGTTGCAAAAGTGCCACATTTGGTAACATTGAGCTAGGAATTGCGACAAAGGGAGAAATGACCTTGCACAGCGCCTGATTTCAAATCCTTTTGTACATAAACTCTCTTTGTATATATCTTGTTCTGCTAGTAATTCCAAGCTAGCAGCTTATAACCCATTCCTGCAGTTAGAGGTAAAACCTGCTCATCCTCCATACACATGCTTTTAGTGTTTCGACTGATTTTGTTGTCAAGGGGAAGTTTTAAACACCATATTTTGTACTTGATAATATTAGAATTCTACTGACTTTATAGCATAATAAAATACCCAGTCGTCCAATTTCCATGAGCTGGTATAAAACTCCGGGAAATCGGCCGCTTATTTTTAGCGCCAAATATGCATATAAAGAAAGATGAGCGGGGGAAGTAAGGGGTTCAAACTTCAGTTAAGTTTGCTTGTTATAATAAAACAGGCAGTTATTCGGTTTTTAGCGAATGTTAAATAGTTAATGACCTCTAGGCATCTCTACTGCAGAAAAGCTCCGTTCTGTGATAAAATTCCTCACTTAAGAGAAAAATGCACGAATTAGTCAGCACACTCGCATGAATGTGTCGTAGTTAAAATGTTTGAGGTAATCTCACTGAATTTTTATTCCTTTGAAGACTGAAAATAATACAACTTGTGTCAGAGAGGCAAGGGCGGCAAGGAATTTTTCATCGAGCATAGAAAATTGCACAACGTCGTCAGAATTAAAAGAAGTCAGATTGTTTCAGCTTACCTACAGGTCTATTTATTTTGGCTGTTGCTTTTGCTCGTTTTTTGTTTCTTTTTACCGACAAAGTAATGACGTCGAGCTTAAAAAAAGAAGTTCAATTTTCTAATAACCATTTTTTTTTTGCGTGGATTTAAAACCTCAAATAATTCATTGAAGGCACCGTGGAATGTCTTGCACAACATCGCAAGAGCACAGTAATTCCCAAGGTGAATCAGTCGCTGTTGGATGATGGATTAATATCAGGGTTGAACACCATTTCCAGATTATCTGAGTATGCTAGCCCATAAATAATAATAAAAATGATGGCTGCTTCCAAGACAACTAATGCTGCAGCTACAGCCACACACTGAAGCAATTTTTTTTTACACCATGAGCAATTTTTGAAACATTTTAAGTACTGCATTGTAAGGGTAAGCGTTCTGCACGAAGGGGACACGCGATAGACACTATACAACTTGAAGGGGCTTTGTCAGGGATTTTAACAAATTTTTAAACAGCCAAATTATGCATTGGTGTCGTAGGAAACCTGAAAATAACTGCCATTTTTATTAACAATTGCTATATCAGAGCACTGAAACAGCTTACAACCGTCTTTGGCTGCGAATGGCTTAGATGGAAATGAATTACAACGTGAAAAATTTAGGCTAAACTTTTCAAGTTGTTTCCTCGGGCCATCAAAAAATCGAAATTAATGGTAGGGGTCTTATTTCTTTCCGCAAATTTATTTATTTTTTATTATTTTTCTCTGGATGTTTTTCTGGGTTAAGTAGTCTACCAATAATTTCAGAGCAGTTTAGACCAACTATCCACAAAATTTCCGTGACGTAGCTCCTTTAATTATTCCCCTAATATTCCTCCCTTGCACCTCGACAGATTGAATCAAAAGCCAGAGAATCCGGCCATCTTAATGAACAAGCGAAAGGGCGGATCGAGAACACGAGAGGAGCCAAACTGAGAAATCGATCAGAAAGATGCCCAAAGAAGATTTACAGGGTGGCGGGGGTAGGATTTCAAGGCTAAGACGTTGAGGGGAAGAAAAGAGGGAGAAATTAAAAGCAGAAATAACAATGACATACAATCCGCGACTAAAAACTAATGCTCCCGTTGACATGTAATATGCTGCGTTGCAAAATTAAAGACGTCAATCAAACAGGCGCGGGAAATAAAGAATGACTAAAATGAAAGCAAATAAAATATACGAACGACTGAATGTGCTGCATGTTGAATTGAGACTGAGCCTGTCTGCCGAAGGCAGTGTTTTCAATAACGACTGAACGAAATAGCGTGAGTTAAATTGACGACTGATAACAATCAAACTAAAACGTTCCCCAACGTGAATCGTGAGGGCCTGAGGTAATTGGAACTAGGAAATTTGCTGGGCATTTTCTATCCGTAAGGGCGCAAGAAAATGCAATCGTGACAACATCTCCCAATAACAAAAAGAGACAGAGAATTTCTGGATTAATGGTCGTTTCTGGGAAACTGCCCACCTACCCCTCCCCAAACCTAACATTTTGCCCAAAGAAAGAAGTAAGTTTTAATGTTAGGTTAGGGGAGGGGTAGGTGGGCAGTTTCCCAGAAACGACCATTGATCCGAATTTCTTCTATCTAGAAGCCTGATTATTGTATTCCAGAAATCGAGTCGTTAAATGTTGTTACTGCTTCAAAGCTTTATCTTATGTTCCGGCAAAAAAGAAGAAGGCCCAAGTCAACTATCAAAGTTAATAGAGCGCCGATAAACGACACTGGTGCGCGCGTTATAAAAACGATAACGAGTTGTGAAATTGCCATACAAATGATGCCAATTCTTGGTATTCAAACCTCTCTCCTGCACCTTCGTGTTTTACTCTATATTTGAGCATTTTGTGATATTCCTACTGTGTATTATAAAGTGTGTAAACCATGAAAAGAGGTTGCAGATTTGACAACACTATGAAGGTTAGGTTCTGAAAATAATAACAAAAATAATGACATGTAACCCTGACTTTCCCAAAGTGGCACATGAAAGTTGCCAAAGTGCCATAAAGGTGCCAAAGTGCCACAATGGTACAAAAGTGCCATGCAAGGTTAACAAAGTGCCACGTGAAGTTAGAAAAGTGCCATAAGGTACGTTAGAATTGTGCCACTAGTTACAAAAGTGTCACTTGAGGGGTGCAAAAGTGCCACTTAACGTTGCGAAAGTGCCATATCAACGTTACAAAAGTGCCGTTTCGTCTAGCTCACCATAGAGTCTCTGTGGCTCAGTGGTAGAGCATCGGAGCGCGGAATCCGAAGGTCTGAGGTTCGATTCCTCATGGAAACTCTAACCCTAACCCTAACCCTAAGCAATCCCACGCTCGTTAAAGGCGAAAAACATCTCTCTCTCTTTCTCTCTCTCTCTCTCTCTCTCCCTCTCTTTCTCTCTCTCTCTCTCTCTCTCTTTCCTTACCGAGCTCAGAACTCACCATCTCTCTTATTCTGTAGTGAACATTTCATTCACCTCAAAACAACGCAGTTTCATCGAGCCAAAATTGTCCTAATGAAAACACAACCAGTACCAAAAAAAGAAAAACATATCCTCCATATTTACAGAATTATCCATAAATCAAAAATTTATTGAGTATATTTTTGAAACATTTTATGATCGAAGTAACATGCTTTCAAAAACATTTCGCGATGGAAAAGTGAAGAGAAATCATGAAGTGAAAACCTCTGATACTCAAGAAGCTCATAAGACTAATTCTCCGACGAAAGGCTGAACTCAATTAACTTAGGGTCTTAATAACAAAGTAGTTTCCGCCATTTTGAGAAAGGAAACTTGAATATAAGGTCCAAGCAGTGTTTGATACCTTGTTATGATGAAGTATTTTTTTAATGTCTTCTCTCTTTTTTCGGCAGGGTAGACACCCACTTTTTTTTCTTTTCCTAAGGACTGAACCATGCAATATTTCGAAAAAATGACCGGAGTTTTGTTTTGCTTAAGTACATGCAAATCTCAAAGCTCTGTCTTCATTGGTGATTTAACACCTGTCTCTTGTCAAAGCTTTTCAAATTAAATTTTTCTTCATTATTTCGTATGCATTCTTTTCTTTGCTGCTTAGCAACGTCACTTTTCAAGTGAAAAGCGGTCATAAACGCAATCTTCAGAATGGTTTCACTCAAAAGGACCAATATTGCATTTCTGACCATTTACAATATTCTCGGCTAAAAACGAGCGCTATGATGTTTGGTTTTCTTCGGGATTAGACGAGGAAACTGTATCTTCTACAAGCTATGAGTGAAGAAAATGTGGAATGTTTTATCGTGGTGGTTTTACTTTCTTTACTTTCGCTATTAATCATTTTTGGACACACTTTGATGTTGATTGTACTGTGGAAAGATCCGTTCAAGAGATTCCGTACAGCGGCCACCACATTCGTTTTTGGAATGGTGTTCGCTAACTTCTTTAGTGGTTTGGGTGCGGGTCCGCTTTTGTCGATTGAGATCAGCTCTAGGTATGGAGCTTTAGATCTTTCGGGTAAAGAAATATTGTCTAACGCTGGCTTCTTTCTATTTTATTGGACCACAAGCGTGTCGTATCTGTCGATGCTGGGTTTATCGTTGTGTCAATACATTGGCGTGAAGATGCCTCATAAACAACAAGGCCTCGTCACCAAAAAGACAACAGGAATTGCTCTCGCAATCATTACGTGTAGTTCCTTGTTTATCCCTTCTCTGCTGGTGATGGGAGTCTCTTTCTCAATGGTAGATGTACTACAACTACACATTGCATTTCAACCCAGCAATTTTCTTCTCTGTGCAGTTTATGCCGCACTCGGGAAGGAATATCTGCGCCAGGTGAAACGCGCCATAGATTGTATAAGCTCCAACGCAAGCTGTGTCCGCGTGAGAGACAGAAATTTTACGCGAGCCAATCTATTATTGCTTGCTACGGTTACGGCTCTTGGTGTGCCGATAATGATTGTATGGCACATCTCAGTGTACGGGCAGAGACTATTTCCCACGGATAAGGGTTTACGAACAGCATGGTCGACTACTATCATCATATTTTTCTTCAAAATAGCTCTTGACCCACTTATTTATTGTTTAAGACTACCGGTATATCGAAGGGCGCTCAAACGCATCTTTGAATTTAGACAGCATCGAGTAAGCGACGGCTGATAATCTCATGATGTACAACTCAACATGGCGCTTACGTTCCGTGTCATTATTATCTATATTTTTCATTCCTAGAAGAAGGCCGCGTTGTGGTATTAATCTTCATTAAAGTCATGATTTAAAATGCAAAATCTTTTATCATTGATTAGACTTCTCTGGAGGGAAACAGCATAATAAATTTCATTAACTCTCTATGCTTGTTTGAAGAGTTTTTTTCTCATAAAATCTCGCAAAAAAATAGTGCTAACCAGCCTTGCACAAGTAGTGTTTTGATTTATTTTAAATTTTATCTCTACACACAATATCGCCTTCAGAATTGACTTATCAGTACTGACGAGGCTATTAAGGAGTTATACAGTTGAGATTTCTTCTCAAAGTCTTTCATCATGATGGATTGTACACTAATGGAGTCTGTGAATAGGAGATAGACGAGTCATTTCCAAGAAAGGAACATTTTCACGCACTGACGATTATTATGTAAGAGTTTCGCACACAAAAGATCAGTATCTCAACTGTAGTAGAGGCTACTAATAAAAATACACTTATGGTGAGTGCTTTTAATATGAAACTATTATCTAATGAATTCTGTTTAAAAAAATGTGGTTCAGATTTCTATCGGGATTTCGATTTTCTCTCCAGCATTCTAACCCCATCAATTCCGCTGCAACTGTTTCTTAAGCGAAATTACCGCGCGAAAACACAGTTTAGAATATAAAATTTGCTCTCCCGGACTGTTCCACAAACATCCAAACAACAAAATATTGCGCACAAGTCCTAAAAAAATCGTGAAAAGCAACATCATATTGTACATATCCTCCTGTTAACCAAAACAATTTACTTTGATTTCCTTTATCCTCATTCCTTTTAAAGCTAATGTCATCCGATCTTTCAAGAGCACTATTAGGAATTCTGTGCTTGAAAAGGTAGATCTTTGTGGATCCATAATGAGGAATTAATTCTTAAAAGCTTTCCTCAAGAGATAGGATTTTAATTATTGTAAATCACACTTATACATATGAAGCATGAACCATTAAAATTTCGTTTCATTACAAGGGACTAATGTATTGGTTATACTTCCTGATGAGATCAAGCTAAAACTTTGATGAACTATATATTTTAGTGCTTGAACAACGTCCTACGTCACAACTAGTGCACCATTTAGAAGCCTTTATTACGGAATAACTTAAAGCAGCAGCTGAACAGATCGTCTCCGATAAATGCTTAAAATAAAATACCTTATTAGAAAAAGCGTCAGTTAATTTGGCGACTCTCATTTTGCCCGAATTTTTCTGTTTCCTATTGTTTTAGAGTTCATTCATTCTCATTTGTGAAGCTTCTCCTTAAAGCTTATTGAAAACAAATTATTTTACACTGTGAACTCTCGGAATATTAAAATTGCTAATTCGAAGAGTCAAAAATTTGAACGTCTTATGGTTTTAACAAAACTTAGAGATCGTGTCTTGATACATGAAAATAGAGATAACCTTTTTGCTGATGCTGGAACGGAAATACACAGAAGAATTCTACGCAATCTAAAAAAGGGAAAAGTCGCTTAACGAAATAAATTATGAGTAAATATGGATGCCAAGTTATTCACATGACACGAGGGTACTTATACTAGTTAGTAAGAAATCATCAATTCCTTTTCAGATTATCTGATTGAAAAAGTCGATGATGTACACGTGTTGGAAACATTTCGGACCGGATTATGATAAATCATACGAGAGCACTCGATCTTTGGAAAGCCTGCTGCGATTGTAGGTGATTTGTCTTCAATGTTTCCTGAACGTGATCTTCTCTAAGCACCCTTCACAGGACAACATGCAATTATCGGCGTAAAAACTAGTGATGTAACAGCAGGATAATTTCCTCTGTTGATTTTACACTTGAAATAAAGCTCAGTGGTGCAACTAGATCATAAGAAAAGAATTGAAAAAAATATATGATGATATGTAGTCAAAATGAACTAAATACAAAATACATATAGTCTCTAAAAGTAAGCGGATTTATGTGCGTGGATATGGACGTGTGTGCGAGTTTGTTTTTCTTCTGTTTTTACATATTTCATTGATTATTGCCTTCTTCACGTTGCTGTAGAAGTTTAAGACTACTAAACTTATAAATTAATAAATATCTCGATATTTAACTTCCCGTTGCCAACATGGTAGGGAGTTAGCTCTTTAACGGATGATTACGCTGGTACAAACATTTGAACATTAGCTCCCTTTGGAATGCAAGTTCAAATCTGTTTGTAAATGAAATCATACACTTTCTTTTTTCTCTCTAATTTTCTTTGTTTTCGTTACCTGTAGAATGGGTAGAATGTTGTTTAATGTAATTAAAGGACAGGTTGATGTTGGTTTTCGGGAGAATAAACCTTTTTTTGCATGTTACATCTAGGAACTCAGAAAAAAATCTTGTGCACTGCATGTGACTTGCTGCATGCATAAATAAATGGGGGTTGAGAGGAGACCATTACAACTTATTTATCATATTTTCAATTAAGTTGGTTAAGGAAATTTTACCTTGGTCAAGAAAATGTTACATTGGTCAGTGAATTTTACACTGGTCAGTAAAAGGTCATGAAGAAGTGAGGGAATTTAAAAAACCTATTGGCTAGATAGGTAGGTACATAATCTTTGTTTATCCACAGTCGTTTCAAGAGCGATTTTAAATATTTATCTACGTATACGTACAAACTTAAAAAGGCGTAGAAATGATAAAAAAGTATGAAGTCTGTAAGGCCCTTCGGGCAAATGACTGAGGTCTTCTTCGGTAAGATAACTGACACTAGCTGTGGAACGAAACCCGTTCTCCCCAATATCAGCTACATATTTTAGCGAATCAAGGTCTACTTCGGCCAGAACCTCTTCAATATTTCTGCTATCAGTCATCATTCTTTTCTTTTCTTTCGTCCTTTGAATAATAACTCGCCGTGCAGCAATGAATGAAAACGCTACGGTTGGACGAGAAAACTTTGACGTTTTGCTGTCAAAACTTTGAAGTTTGTTATTTATCTTATTTTATTTATTTAGCTTCGCCCCAACTAGAATACGATACTCATATATATAAAAATATGGGCAGGAAGACCACTTCATCCTAGCTAGCTAACCACATTGAATCCACCTTAACAAATATAAACAACCAAAGCTACACATATTTAAAAGAGAAAAAATCAAAAAAGAAGCATGTTGAAATTTCCAGAAGCAGCAGGATGGTGGGCATAGGAGAGGACTTGCTATGTTGCACCTAACACAGATTGTTCTCCAGGCTCTAATGTCGTCAACGTCTTACAGATCTAAAGCCTTATTGAAATATGAGGTAATGAACGTTTAAATGAAGTAAGAAGGAGGCAACTGGTGCGTAACTAAGCGGGCGTGCGCGTATGGAGTCAAAAATGAACGTTAATAAGTAACAGTTCTACTTCGCTTAGGGATATAAGTAAAAGCATTACTTCTCCATGACCGAGTATATATCGTTAATTGTCTAAATACAGGTAGAACTTCACAACCTTCGAAAACTGAGTTATTCAAAGGATTAAAGAAAGAGAAAATATGCGGGAATTCGTGCCATTGTGGGATATTTAACAGATTTGTTAGTTGGAGAGAAGGGAAGCTTTAAAATTAGTTTTGTTACGCGCCGCTGCACATTTCAACTCGCTTAAGTTAGCCGATAGACTGTGACGATCATACTTCGACATCCATGTGATTTTGACCGAATCTCTTCTATTTCGAGCCTGTGATTGATCGCGAAAAGTTCTTGGTATCGCAGACGGCAGCACTGTGTCCAACCTCCAGCCTAAGCCGTAGCGAACTCCAAGAAATTCAACCGAGAGAGCGCTGAACACTGGTTACCAGCTTTTACGCGATTTCATTAAAAACATGGCGGACAAACGTGGGTTAACTTCTTCGTTTCTGTTGCGATGTTGCCCTCTTTGAAGTTAGGACCTTTACGAGGTAGAATGGTCGTGAAATTCCTTTACAAGACTTTTATTTCTCTATTTTTAGCAATGATCTGCAACCTTTTTTAATCCTTGAGGTATATCAGTGGTAATGTTTTCCCTGGCTCACGGTTTACCTCATGGATCGATTATGATCGCTTATCTGTAAATAACTGTTCATTTTTACTAGGAATACTTAGTTATTCTTTGATTACCTAGGTTAACAACGTGACCATTCAGCGTGTCCCTGGGAAAAAGATGGAAACAAAACGTCTGTTTGTTGGAGGGCTCTACAGTGGTATCAAAGAGGTTGATTTACGGTATGTTCTACTTATAATTTCGTCACCAGGTGCACAACGTATAGTATGTTCATGTCGGATTGACCAAGTCTGAATTCTATTTAAATAAATTTATCTCAGGCTTCACTTTCACAACTACCTCAGTTGTATTCAAAACTGAAATTATATTTCTTTACTGAATCGCTCTTCGGTATTTTCTAAGATATATGATAAAGGTTGATTTGGAGCTTTTCTTCATTAGTTGGCTCTCATTTACCACAGTCTCCGAGCCTGAGTTTGAATCAGTCCGTTGTTGGTATAAAGAGGAAACTAAGAATAGCTTCAAATTTTTTTTTTTACCCGAGATAGTATTTTATTGCACTTGTACATGGTTCAAAAAGGATCTCTTGAACTCTCTTGTACATACAAAAACCTCAAGTAAGCTATCTATTTTAGCCATTCTTTTTGTGGCTTTTTACTCTAAACTTCTTCCATTAGTTACTCAACGCTGCTGCTCTGATCTTTGCTCTATAAAATATGTGCCCAAACCGAACCCCCTCCCCCCTTCCCTGGCTGTCACTGCGTATTATTCATACTGTAGTAATTGTGTTTGATATATATTAACTAGATAACAGAATTTCTCAATAATATCTTTACAGCTCATAGTGAACATATCCTTTAAAACTTTCCTTAAATGCTTGAGGATACAGTGTAACAAATTGTCTTTGCAATGACTCTGTTACAGTTAACCCTTTAACTCCAAGATCTGAAACTGTAAATTCTCCCCTTTAACTGCTACACATTTCATAGTAAATTGGTGAAGAGAATTTGATGTTAGATCAAGATAGCAATTGCTAGCTGGTAAGTTTGAAAATTCTCATGAGTTGTTTTCTGGATAATGTATGGATAATATAGGAAGAAAATGCATGTTAATCACCTTTGAGAGTTAAAGGGGTAAAATGGTGCTTTGACTTCCCATGAAGGACCTCCTTTAGTTCACTAATATTTCAATGTTTTAAATTCTTCTCTCATTGGCTAACATGTGCTAGATGTTATAAACACTGGTATATGAAAATAATTCTTAGCCACACTAAGCCGTCTACATATATATTATAATTATCCTTTAATGCAACATTTCAGAGATCGCTTCAATACTTTTGGTACTGTATCATCAGTTGAAGTTATACAAAGAGCAGATGAAAATGGTATGTAAATGAATCATTTGTATTTCTATTGCTGAATTATGGGAGATCTTGCAGCATGTGTCTCACCTTGTCATAACCGTTTCACCCCTAAGAGCGAGTAGCTTCCAATTTCTCCCTTCAGTTGCAATTATCACCCCAGAATCACAGGGGTCAAGGTCACAAGGATAAGGGAAATGATCACCAACTTAAGAAGAGCTAAATTGTTCACAAAATCTCCTTGTCAACACCTTGGTAAATGTATAAAGAACAGTATTTAGTATATGAATACTGATGTTAGTGTGTAAAAGGTTAAAGAAATTGTTAAGCCACCAAGGCAGAAAAATTTGGTTATGGCATCAGCACACAGTACATGTTTGTCCTTCTGTGTAGAGCTTTGCCTTAAAACCTGTCAAAATCTTCCCTTTGAATATCCTTACACGTATTTTGTTCTGTCAACATGTATTTAATGCAGTTTAATGCAATTTCACAGAGTTAACAATAAAGAGCATCAGCATTCTCTAGTAGTCAGCCTTTTTTTGCATATGCACATGCATCAGAATTCCATGTCCTCTTCATATGAGGGGTTCTTGTATTTGTTTTGAACGCGAACTTGCAGCATTGTGAGGAGAGGCAGCTCATGGGCTGGGCAGTTTTCCCCACCCCTTCCCTCCCTCTTCCATTGTTTATTCAGTGTGACGGGTGCCTGTTTCCCTTTCCTGTGTGGGGGCTCATGGCTGAGTTGCCAGGATTTGCCAGCCATGGGAGAAGTCTCCATCAAGGAGCTGGCTGCCAATACTGGAAGCTCCAGAATGTTTCAGGCACCCAAACTCCACTTGGTGGTGCAGTTGTTAATTTATTGTTTTGAGGTCTTTTTTTTTTACTTTAATCCAGAAACTTATTTTTCAAAACAATTTTCAAATCTTAATGCATAGTATCTAGTTTTTAAAGTATAAGTTTATGAGTATTTTACAAGTTTTCCAAATCTTTTAGTATATCATCTTCTATTGATTGATTTAGGTTGCACAACCAAAACATTTGCATATATTGACATTTTGCAAACAGAGAAAGATTTCAGAAGATGTGAGTATAGAATTTCTTTTGTATTTACCATCAGCTATTTCTTGTTGTGAAATGTAAAATGTGTTCCAATGTAATTGTTATCTTTAACAGTTGTTTTGATTTGTGTCTGTTGAAATTAAGCAATACTTTGCATCGTGTATAGTTGGATAGCTACTTGAGCCATATTTAGAAAACTTCAGGTTGAAATAGAGAGATTCTAATACACATGTATCTCAGTTTGTTTCTTTCTCAAACTGACTTGGACTCAACTCCATAGTAAAAGTACTATTAATGAAATTTAATTATTGATAAGGCTTTAACCCTTTAGCTCCTATGAGTGACTGAGACAGAACTTCTTAAAATATCAATACAATATCAAGCAGATAAGTGATAAGAATAAAGAAAAAATCTTAACTTGTAGTTGATCTAATACCAAATTCTCCAAACTGATATCACAAGAACTATATGGCAGACAGTAAGGAGAATTACTAATGAGATCTTGGAAGTTAAAAGGTTAAGAGCAATAATGACAATCTCCCTTTATTTTCCTCATGTTTTAGAAAGAGAAAGGTGTCATTGGAAATTTTTTCTTTTTGAATGATAACTTTACAGATTTTAAATTTCATACATGTAGAGAATGAACCTAAATCAATGAACTAAACACATATTTTCACCCCTGTATTAACTGTGCATTGTATGTCTACTTGTATCATCTGGCAACCAGTACAATAATCAAAAGCTGTACCAACCCTGAGCATACCACCCAGCAATTATTGTTAGACAGAAGTTGTTTAAATTTATTTCTTCCTTTACTCCCTCTCCTTTTGCTTCATATGAAGGTGTTTCACTCCTGTCAAACTCAAAGTGGAGGGGCTGCTGTTTGAAGATTCAGCCTGCCAAAGAAAGTTTTCTCACAAGGTTTGTTAATACATTTTTAATAAATGAGGCATTTTTAACCCTATAGATGGGTGTATAATTTTTGAGGCTGTGAAATGACGTTGTACTGTACGTAATCACAGAATAAGAAAATGTGAGTGGTGTTGGGAGGCACACATGTAATAACTCTATTTTGAGTCAGAGTGGGTTATAAACATTCCGAAAAATATTTTCTTCTTCATGCCTGATGTACCGATAGTAAATGAGATATTAATGCCGTTTGTGTTTTATTCAAGCACGTTTACCATCCAGTTGTGAATAAAAATTGTTTCCCTTTTCAGAAGTGCACTGTATCTTTTCTTTTTTTTTTAATGTAAAGGCTACAAAGAGAGAGACAGCAGCAGGCCCAGGCTAATGTCGTATCACCCTTGCATGAAGAAACCAAACAATATTCGCTAAAAGGAATGATAGCACATCGTGAGAGGGACTCAGAAATGCAAAATTCCATTCCTGAAACACTTCCAAAGGCTGTTCCTGGTACACCTCTTCCAGGAAAGAAGAATTGGGTGGTTGGAAAGTTTGGACGTGTCTTACCAGTCATGTATTTGAGGCGTAGGGATAGGAAAAAGATTGCAAAGTTCGATCCAAGTAAAACAACACATTGCTTGAAGAAAATTAAACCTGAGGAACGAGATAGTACGATAGCAGAATTAACATGGAACTTGCAGTCAGAGGATGAAATTTTGAATGTTAGTTCAGGAAATTTATTGGCAGAGAAAGGAAAAGATAGACACGAATCAAAGTCAGTGGTAACAGTTAAAGAGCGGAAGTTATCAAATGATTCTTTTGAAGAACAAGCTCTCACCGAGGATGTAAGAACGGAATCCAGTGATTCATATTCAGAAGGAAACATGACTTGGAAAAGTGTCAAAACAAAGTCTTCGAAAAAGGTAACTGATGATACTTTGGAAGGAAGCAGGTTTGTCGAAAACGGTCACTCTGAAGAAAGCTTACGGTCTGTTCCCCAGCTGGAGCAAAAGATGCTTTCACAATTAAGTGGAGAGGAAGGTTTTTCTTCTAAAAAAACAGAAAGAAAGAATAGAATTCTCGATAGCAATCGACATTCCTCAATACATAATGGGACATGTTCATCAGAGGTTGAAAGAGAAGAAAAACATGCACCTGATGGGACCGGGGCAGAAGCTGGTGAAATGAGATCCTTTGATAGCTCTGATTACACAGCAGGTACTGAATCAACTGACAGTGAAAGTGTTAGCCCCACCAGTAAAGATCTAAATTCTTTGAGTATTAATTCAAAATCGAGGTCGATTAGTCAGAACTCTGGCAATTGTGATTCAAAAGGAACCCCAAGGAGATCTACGAAACCAGTGGTAACAGACAGTCCTCAAAAACGTACAAACTCAAATGAAAAGCGACTAGATGCCTTACTTGAGCGAAAAAAGACTGCACAAGCTCAGAAAAACGTGATCAATGATGCACTGAAGGGCTTAGACAGCGGTCCACAAAGCCATGTTGGAGGAAACCACATTGTGTTTTCTGATAGCGATGAGAATGAAACAGATGACAAGGAAGTTAAGAAAGCTGCTTACTCTATGGGAGACAAGGTAAGTGATTACTGAGTGACATGTACATGTTTCTTTGGGCCAACATAAGCACAGGTAAGTGCGCATAAGTACACACAAAAATACAAGCTAATTAAGGCACCATTTGCCTTTCCCAGGGTTTTTTTCCAGGAAAGGGGGTAAGTCTTTAAATAAACTGAGGTGCTGCGTTGGTGGGAGAGTATATATAGTGTTATGTTAGTGTTATCAACTGAGTTGATGACGTAAGTTGGCCACTGTAAAGAGTTTAGAAGCTGACGTTTCGAGCGTTAAACTTCCACTGAGGATACACCATCATTTAGAGGACAAATTTTGTCTCTGGTTTGAAAAATGCCCTGTATTGTTTCTATCTGTTACACTCATGGAAGGCACAAATATGTTCAGGCTCCACGTTTCTCCCCCCAGGGTTGTTTCCGCACGGATATTCTTTGATTTATTGATGATTAGGACAAGCTTTTTTGAAAGTATGTTTTTAGATTTACTTTTGATGATTTCTTGGATACGCAATCGCGACAAAAAACTGGAGACGATTTCAGGGGTAGTCGCGCAGCTGTATATTATCAGTGCAAATCTATAAACGGTGCCAGAGATACATTTAAGGCTTGATTATTTCGGCGTCAGCTTATGAGATGTTATTGTTTATGGAGGTAGTATTATTAAATATTTATTGATTTGTTTCCAACTGTGGTATTTGTACATGTATATTAGATCTCAGGTTCTAAGGCCAGTTCGTGGCTTGGACTCGATAGTGACAGCGAAGATGATAATGATCTCGCAGGTCATCTTAGCGTAGAAGGAAATCATCAGCTTGTTAAACCCCACTTTGAGGGAAAGTCTGGCGAAGAGGTAATTTTTTAAAATATAATTGTGCTCGTTTCTGTTTTCCACTAATAGCCGCATTTGGCTGTCGGTTCACTCATGAAATAGAATAGCTCCAACTGATGTACAATCTGCCGAGCGCATTACAATGTTGTCGGTTAACTCTCCTTTTGTTTTATTCAACTGCGATATCATGAAGCTTTTTCACCCTAACATCAGTATATATTTTCTCCATACTGTTCTCTATACATTTTCTATTGTACTGACAAAGAGAATTTGTTTGACAATCAAGAGCTTCTTTAGTTGGTGATCATTTCCTTAATTCTCATGACCTTATTTTTTTTTTTAAGGGCGATAATGTTAGGAGAAAATAGTTACTAATCCAGTACTTTTATGTATATTCTCCATACTGTTCTTTATACATTTCATAAGGTACTGACAAAGAGAATTTGTTTACCGATCAAAAGCTTCTTTCGTTGGTTATCATTTCTCCTATTCTCATGACGTGAATTGATGTGTGATTCAGGGGTGATATTGTAGGAAGAAATCAGATGCTAGTCACTCTTAGAGTTTAGCGGGTTAAGGCCTGCCAGTTTTGTTTATATTAACATTAGTTAAGTTCGTTTTGTCAATAGGGTGACGCCGCCAATGGCCTCTGCGTACGTGTGGCACCCTTAGATTTTATAAAATTAAGATCAGTTTTGTTAAATTGTACTTCCTAGCTTTTCAAATTACAAAGGACTTACGGAGGAGATAAAAGATTTGATCTTGATTCACGTTTTCTGGAGAGCGAAGAAGACGACGACGATCATGATGGTGGTTATCGCTCTGAGATCACTGCTAAAAGAGATGCACGAAAGACACTGTCTCAAGGTTATGAAGGGGCCATCCCCAAGGAAAACGAGGACGATATAAGTAAAAGTATTCAGGAAGAAAAGAAAATGGCTTTTAAAGTTCTCGGAAATATTTTGGGGGCGAATTTCAAGGCAGGTTACAGTGGTCACAGCACTGAGGAAAAAGTACCAGAATTCAGGTTAGTAGCAAATGGATGAATGTTCGATAAGCCACTATGAATAGCCATAGTTTCGGTTCTCACAAATGCAAAGGAGAAGCATTGAATTTTGAAAATTTATTTATTGCTTTTTTTAATTTTGAACACTCTACGAAAGAATATGCCTGTGAAATTTTGGGATTACGAACAAACGTTTTTGCAGTTCATGATGCAGAAGCCACTGATAAAAAAGTCCTTGGTGACTTTTGGTCAAAAAAATCATAATACTATTAAAAGCAAACTAGAAAAGGGGAAAAAAAAAGCTTATCTATGTACGATGTATTGTCCGCAGGAGCACTGCTGTACTGCATTACGACCCAACTCGAGAAGATCACAAACAGTTTGAAAAGATTGTTGAAGAGGAGAGAGAAAAACCGGCCGTAAAACCTAGTGGAGCTAAAGAAAAACAATCAGAGGAGGCAGAATTACCCGATGTATCTCATGAAAAGTATTACGAGGCCAATGCCTCTCTGCTGACGAATCTCTTCGGTGGAAAGGAGGTAAGGTGGGCTGTGAGAGGGCCGCAATAAATCGTTTGCGATCTAATCTAAGCTGCCACAGCAATGATTTATAATCTGCATGAGGTTTAGGCCTATGAAGGTTGTCCAGGTTTTGTCAAGTACAGGCTTGTCGTTTTGTGGCTGCCATTTTGTCAAATCGCTGAGTGGGATCTTTTTTGTTGTTGTTGTTTTAGTTTAGTTGTTGTTGTTTAATTTTTTGTTTTTGTTTTCGTTTTTTATCATTTCATTAGCTTGGTTCTGACTGCCTTTTAGAATGCAGTGATAAATGGATGATGCCACGTACACGCAGGATTATCCGTAACCCCTAAAACCCCAGCACTTAGGTCGCGCGTTATGTTGCAAACCAACATATCAAAACCCTCGTTCCTCTTGAGTACTGAAAATGGTAGTCAAAAGTTGGTTTTCTTAAAACACACCCATGGTCGTTTTTAAGGGAATGTTAAAAAACGAAGTTTCAAATAATCCATAAAGAGCAACAGCACATCTTGTACTCCGCCGCACCCTGCGAGAGAGGAGCAAAGGGAGGGAGAATTAAAGGAAGGGTTTCAGAGGATAAAATTGGCATGCCATCCCAAAATATTGCCATATCATTTGCAATCGGTCAATTTGTTTGTTGCCTATCGAAGGTTCAAGGTAATATTTAGTCATTTAAGCCACAGACTTTTACACATGGCTGACGTTCCTCATTTACCCAACAAAAGTTCCTCTCAGTGAAATTGATACGTTGATGTTCACCCAGTCATGACGAAGTTTAACTTCCGGTCATATATTACTTTACGTACAGGGAACATCTTTCACATTTCTTGCACGAGAACAAGATGATGACGTTGATTCAACTCCTGAAGACCTCACACACGAGGGTGCAGTTGAAATGCTAAAATCAAATCCCTGGCAGGCCACACCTAAGCTTCCTTATGACAGTAGTGATGATGACGACGATGACGACAACGATGATAAAGACAACGACTACGGTAGTGGTGATAACGCGGAATTGAATGATTCTGTTGGTTCAGATGGTATTGCGCTCAGTAAAATCTCATTGGCGCCTGATGAGCTGTTCTTTTTTCACCCAGATGATCCTATCTTGGCAAATCGCATCGATGGTGAGATATACATGTACTAACAATACACATCACGGGGAAAGGGTGGGGAGTTATCATTCTAGTCAAAGTTTACCTAAGAACCAGTTAGAAATATAGAGGACGTTTACTGTAGCACGATACTGGTTATCAAAACCTATTGCTGGAACCTTTGCGTTCTAATGATACGAAGAATGTAACGTTGATTTGCTTTTCAGATAAAGAAGCTCTTTTTGTGAGAAGAGTGAGCCAGGAAGAAGTCAGCGAACACTGGGTAACAATGAGATCAGATCTCACTCAAGACTACAAGAAAAAACGGAAGGATGCTTTACGGAGACAGAATAAATTGGCTGCAAAGAGACCAAGGCATAGATGATGAGGCTTGTAGTTAGTGACAGAGTCTATGTACAAGGAAACATCTGACTTAAAGCTGACGGTAGACTTTATCGCCTGCTGTAATTCTATACTTTTTAAGTTGCATGACAACTTACCCATTTTGACTCTGTGTCCTAATTAAAGATTTTGGATACCATCGTATCTTACAAAGTGCAGTTGCAAGGCCTAATTTTTAAGGCGGTTAATGTCAAGCTCTATCATGTGTCTTATAGGGAGTCACGGTTACTCTTTTGCTCGTAGGATCTATCATAAACTTGCTGACTGTGTTACCTACGCGCAATTTTGTTTCGATGGTGTTGCTGCTTTTTTTTTTTTAGTCTGTTTTCTTTCGTTTTGTGTCCTTGATGCACGTGAAACCATCCCCTGTTCGTTGCCATCACACATACATTCAAGACTGACTTAAGCTTTAATTAACATTTTAAGAAGGCTACTCTAACAAAAACGCCTTGCTGACGGTTTTTCGTTTGTTCTCCTTAATGTTACTTTTAGTCTGTAATACCCAGCCCATTAAAAAAAACCAAAAAGGCCAAACAAGAAAATCCAAAGATAATTTCCTCTATTGATTTTCACTTTTCAGAGAACGATAATCAGAAGTAAAGTTATGGCCCTATGTAAGTTTAACAATATACAAAACAAAATAAGTGCGACAAACTGCAAAGGCTGCGACTCCAAGTAGGCTGTTTGTACACCAAAGATTAACAGATACTGTTCAAAGATACCTAGCCTTACCCTTCGTTTACACGGGAAGGTAGTTCACACCTGCAATATCCTCATTTCTGGCTTCATTTCCGTGACAGGTGTTCAATTTAAATCTTAGCGTAAGCGGCTTACTAATGTTACTCAGCGGAAACAAAACATATGCTATGTGATTATTTGACATTATGGTAAATGGATTATCGTTCATTTCGTATTCCCACGATTTCCCCTGAACTTGATCCACTTTAAATTGCGCTCCACGCTTGTGTATGCTGTGTAGCGATAATCCTTGTGGCAGCCTTTTGGAAGCACATTAAGCCCCCAGCTCATCACACCACCCAGCACCCATTTCGTTGAACTCTGATCACGGGTAGTAACAGAGAACATGAGTGGGGACCCGCTATCACCGACACAAGCGGTCTTCTCGCCCTCCTTAAAACCTGCACAGATCATGGTGTTTTCATCGAAAGCAATGTTGTTGGCCCATCGCTCGCATCGTGATCTGTGCGAAACCGTGACTGCTGCCTGGTGAAGTGTGCTGCGGACTCGGTGCTCAGGAGTCTTACCCCAACCGATTACCACACCATCGCTTGAGGCTCCAGGTTTCAGGAGTTTTTCCACTTCCATCCTGGTCGGTATGCAGATGGGCCTTATCTCATCGGTAACATTAATCGGTTTTGTCAAGCGCACCAGAGCGATGTTTCCAGCGAGTACCTTTCGATCTGCGTTAAAGTCTTTGTGGATGACGATGTGTGACACATCGTGCAAAACCGGATCATGACTCGAAGAACCACGGGAGAACGCCCCAAGTTCCACCTTAACAAACTTTGTAGGAATAACTATATGTCCTAGGTACAGGCAATGAGCTGAGGTGATCAGCCATTCTTTATCTATGAGAGTAGCCATACAGCCTTCGATGTCACCAAAGACGCTGAAGTGGAGCAGAGCTGCCCAAGGCCAAGTTGCCTGGTCCTCTGAGTGCCATCTCCCAGGCAATGAACTGCCAACAAGGGGTGCAACGCCGCACTCTTTAAAAGAAGACAGGTATAGATAATTTCTAATGTTGCCCGACGCCTACAATGTACTTCTGCAACTGAGGTTATACTTGATTTTGCAGGGATTTTGTGAAAAACAATCTTTCCCTCTTACCTTGTGGATTCCTCTTTCTACTGCAGGAGTGGCCATTATTGGAAAGAAAGTATCCCTTCTTACAGGAGCAAGTATAGCTATAAAGAGTGATTGAATTAAAATGGTTAAAATGTTAAAAAAAAAAAAGAAAAAAAAAAAGGAATCTAAAGCAAAGAAAAAGGAAAACGAAGAACAGGAGGAAAAAACAGTTAGAAACTATAACTTAAGGCGGATATGAATATCACTACATTGCAACTATCCGTGAATCACTGTTTTAGCTTTGTATCGATCTAATGCTACGGTTTCCCATCCTTAAAAGGCATGTTCTGAAGGAATTCCTATTTTTTTCCTAATACAAACTAAGTAGGCTCAGTTTACATCGCAGACTTGGACACGTAATGGGACGCGATGAGATTTTAGACGAAAAGAGGAAACAAAGAATACCTTCCGTAGCTATTAGTGCAGTTGTGTTGGCATTGGTGAGCACCTTCTGCGCACTCGTCAATGTCCAAACACCTGGTCTTCTGCCTCAGCTTGTAACCATCTCTGCAGGAGCATCGGTACGAACCCGGACTGTTCCTACAGATTTGCTCGCAGCCACCCCTATTACTCGCGCACTCGTTGATGTCTTCACAGCTTTTGGTTCTGTAATAGTCACAATTTATTTAAGTGCAAAGTAATGCATTCACTGTCGGAGCCTCCACAGAATGAAATGATCATAAGTATTGTTACTCTTATCACCCCCCCCCCCCCCCCTCCGTCCCCATAACGAATGAGGAGTCACTGGTCTCATCGCAGACCAACCTGTCAACAATTCGTCGACAGTTTAATGGTGTTTTTTAACACTCCTTGGTGAAGAAAGGTGTGGGGAGAGTAATGTTTCTTAGGCAACAACAAAGGGCAATGGCGCAGCCATTCTTCAAATGTGACGAATAAATCGTTACTACGTCTTGAAATTTAAGTACAGTATTATTGGTAGATAAACTTACGTAGGATTAAATTGATATCCAGAGTTACATTGGCATGAGTAGCTTCCATAACTATTGACGCATGGGTGCTCTCCACAGCTGCCATTATTTGAGGCGCATTCATCGATGTCTTCGCACCGTGTTTTGTTGGCGTTTGTTACGAAGCCAGGATCACATGTACATTCGTAACTAAATACAACAAAGAAGAGAACCAACACGATTAAAAACGTTTCCTAAACCTTATGCTCAAAGATTTGTTTACGACAGAAAGGCAGTCGCTGTGGTGAAATACACATATCTTAGACGTTTTGGTGTGCATTATAACCGAGTATTTTGACGAGTTGTGCTAGAAAAGCAAAGCGGATAGATAACCGTAGCGCGCACAGCCGACTGGTTAAACAGGTTTTTTTTACAGTACAGAAAAACCAACTGTGCAAATATCCGTGCAATATCGCAGGATATTTGTGCTCTATTCGCGCGTTATTTGTACTCTACTTTGTGCAGTTGGATAATAATAGTACACAATCATCTCCAAATTAAAGTAACAGAGGAAGTAAACGACGAATCGGCGTAGGTTTGAGTTGGAACTCTGAAATTCGATTCAAACCTGCTCGAGAGCCCACACTCCGAGGATGTAAATGAAAGGAATCGACTAAGAAAGGTCTAACTAATTGCGCTTGGTTAGCTCATGTTGTGGAGCGCCGGACGGCCGTGCGGGAGGCCGAGGTCTCGCGCCCCAGATCGGACAAACATAAGGGTCTTAAAATAACCGAGGAGAAGGTGCTGCCTCTGCTATGAAATCTGCATCTCCGTTAAAGACGATAAACCGTAGGCCCCGAAATGTAGCAACACGTGTTGTGGTCTGGATTTGTCTTTGTTCATACAGGCCTCCATTCCAACCAGCTTTGAAGCTGATCTGGACCAGCCTATCTAAATATCGCAAATTAATATATAAACTACAATACGGAAAGAAATTATTTAGTTCAGTAATCGCTGGTCACTTTCACCAATTGCAGAAAAATTACCTTCCAGGTGTATTGTGACAAACAAAACAGGCTGGCGCTCCCATAGCACACTCATCAATATCCATACACTTGGAGGGATACACGAAATCCTCGATATAACCATCACGGCATGAACAAAAAAAGCTGCCAAGAGTGTTCTGACAATCATGCTCACATCCACCGTTACTTATTTCACATTCATTCACATCTGCAGTAAAAGAGAAAAATACAAGATGGAAAAAAAAAAATAAGAAAAGAAAACCGTTGCCTTGGCGAGAATCTAATTTATCAACGAGAGAAAAGCAAATGAAGACTTGGATTGACTTCAGATGCCGGAAGAGCACTAACAGATAATAGCTGGAGATGATAATCAACGATTACTAGTGACTGGACTGTGGAAGAAATTTTCTTTCGTACATTCTAGAGAAAAACTCACTGCTCAAGTCTGAGTTGTGCTTTGAAACCATATAGGGCCTGTATCTGTTAAATAATCGAGCTTCATGGGAGAAGCTCCTCGTTTCAAACAAAAATTATAATTAAAAAAAACGTTTGGCAAGATCAAACAAGAGCAAATACGTTGTTAAAAGGGGGGAACGTGATCAATAGACAAACAAAGTTAGATCCTCGAACATTCCGGATGAAGGTACTTCTTACCCACACAGGTCTTGGAATCATTCAAAAGCTTGTATCCGGGTGGGCACTGACAGTAGAAGCTTCCAGCTTGGTTGACGCAGTCATGACTACAGCCTCCATTATTGCCATCACATTCATTAATATCTGGTAAATAAGGAAAAAACAAAAGCAAAAATAAACGATAGTATCATAGATCCAAGAGTAGATAACTCGCAGGATTCACATTTAGCTTTTTGTCACAGTGTTACTGTACAGTGTCGCTAAGGCTAACACAGGTATATTTATATTTCATCGTAGTCAACCTAGCCTTTGAATACAGCCGCCTCACATCGCATCCAGCATTGACTTGAGGCGACACTGAGTGTTTGCGACTACAACCTCAGACACAGCATACATCATACACCTCTTTCATAATAGAAGGCATAATTATCATTCCATTTATGCGCCTAAAAATAGGCCTTCTTGGCCTCACTCTTGCTTGAACATTTTTTGGTAATTATAGATGTTGCCGACACCAGAAAGAGCATTTACATAATTGCAAAAGGCTCTCCATTTAAAAAAAGAGGTTTATGCAACATTTCACGACTTTAAGACCTTCCTCCACGATTCGTTTTTTGTTTTTTTTTTATTCAACTTAGGACATTAAGATTCGCGATGTTTTTGTTTCCTTCCTATCAACGATAACGTTTGACTAAGATCGAAAGGCTCGGAA